AAAAATCATAAGATAGGTAAAAATAATAATTCATCATAAATGATATACATGCGGTTTTATGTCATCGTAGTATATAATACGACAATATTGAACATAAATGACAGTGCATAAAAGAATCTATTACCTAGACGGCTGAACGGGAATGGATAACAATGGAAATAATTGAAAATGTAGAGAGAAGTAGACTGTTTAAAAATAAAACAGATGAAGAAAGTAAAAGACAATACAAGATCTTATAGAGAAATAAAATAAACCGAGAAACAGTAAAAGCCAATGAATTGTGGGTTGAAAAAAATTATGAAGAGATAGACAATGTGATAAAATATAATCAATAAGACAAAGTATATAGATTAATTAAACGACACTATAAAAAGTAAAGTAAAAATATAATACTTTAGATTTTCGTACATAACCGCGGGACACGTCCTAGTCCATCCAATGAGGTCGATCAAAATCATTTTAAAAGACGCAATCGTTCAACTCATTTATATATTTTTTTTAGATTCTGAGCGGAGTGAGAAATATATTGATTATATATCAGTAGTATCAGCCCTTTTTTTATTTATTTATTTTATTATAAGTACCAACATTTATAATAATTATTTTTATAAATACACAATCGTTACATCATAATATTATGCTTAACAGACTTAATGTAATATAATAAAATATAATGTAGGTATAATCATGTAGTACATTAATTTTATTAATATAACATTGTATAGGTATTATCGTTACCTAACTATACTTACTATACCTACTTATATGTAACTATATTATTGTAAAAAAATAATCAACGAGCAATGTCCTATTTAGAAAATAAATAAAAATATGTTGCTCTTAAAAAAAAAATCCTCATTTTTTTAACAGTAATAATAATTCATTATCTACCAGACTACCAATTAGGCACCTAACACACATCTATCAGTTGTTTATTATGAATTGTGTGTAGTAATCAATAACATTACTTATAATATTATTCAGATTGGTAAAATCATAATTTTCCTAATTTTTTTGTTTTTTATATTGAATTCGAAAATAAATTATCTATTTCCAATAGTTTAAAAAGTACTCACATATTATACAATTGTTTAGGTAAACTTATATTTACACTTTTATTATTAACGTATTGTTTTATTATAATGTACTATTTTGTTTAAATTGGGTTCACGCCCGTTTTATTTCAATGAATAAATAATAATAATTATTAATTTTGTTTGAATAAAGTGTATTAAACAAGTCGAGTTTGTTTTTAGAAATTTATTATTTATTTATCGTATATATGGACACCTACACGAGTATAAAGTGAAGCGATTGGAGTTATACACTGTAATATAATTAAGGTAAGTGTTTAATTTACAAAAATGTTTCAAAATATTTGTCGGTATAGATAGACAGTAGGTAGATTAAAATGTTCAAACATATTACTGGTACTTAGGAACGAAAGGAAATGAGACATTACGTTTCTCTATTAATCAAATTTAGAAAATGTACAATTGATTATTTACCCTAGGTATTTAAATTTTAACGAACTCGTGATTTACTATTATTTTTAAATTGTGTTGTTCTTCAGTGTAAAAGGAATCTAATGTTTTTATTTATCTAAAGCCCATTAGTTTGCTCCGATTTCATTACCGGTTTGATCGTGGTTAGCCGATATTAACTGTGATTAAAATTAGATTAACCACTTGTTGAAATTTACCACACTCGGTTAAGGTTTAATCGTATGTAAACATTTACCAGCCAATTCCAGGCAGTTAATGCTGTTAATCATGATTTAGACTGTTAAAAAATATAAAATATCTAATCAAAATTTGACACCTTGAATCGTTTATTTGCATTATTCAATAATAATTTTTCTATGATAATTTCCATTAATTGAAATAAAAAATAAAAAAGCCTCGAGCTATAGTGCGTACTTTTAATATAACATTTGAAAAAGACGAAAACGATTTCGTGGTTTACCGTTCAAGATGAATAAGAGGAAGGCGGTTTCGATAATCTGGAATTGAGAATACAATCAAGAAATTGTATTCTTTTAGATTTGGAGCGTAGTGAAGGATCTATTGGATTTACCATGTTTTTTTAGTTTTTGTATTTGTAAAAAAATTGTCTATTAGAAATATTGGTTCTACGTGTAGACTGATATACTTTTGAAATATTCTTTAGTTGGTTTATTAAAGAGATCATTTTTTAATTTTCCCGGTAGTTTTCATAATTGTTGGGAAAACCGGAAAAAGACAAAAGATGAAAAATGAAAAAATGTACGGCATACGATTTCATTATTTTACATTTATATGGCTTATGTTTTCTACCAAAAATATTGCTTTAATGAAAAATAATAAGAGACCTTTTTTGTTGAATTTTTAATCTAGTTGGGGAGTAAAATAATGTTTTTGATTTTCAGTGTAGTTTTATTAATAATCAAGAAAAACAAAAAAAAAACTTAAAATTAATTTTGACAAATTTACTAAAGATATTGCTCAAATAAAAAAAACAAAAAAAAATTTTTTTGTTGAATTTTTAATATTTTTGCTAGCAAAATCGAAAAAAAATGACGGACATACTTCACACGGTGAATAGGTCACTGTTGGAGGTGAGAAGTTGGGAAGGTAAGATATAAAGGGGAATGTAATGTATATTTGTACGTATAACGATTTATCATTGCTAACGAAAAATGATTTGTAGTGGAGGTTGGTTAAATATGTTTTGAAAGGCTGTAATAATTACGAATTTTGTGAAAATTTGATATTAAAATAATTATATAAAAAAAATATTCCACATTACGCTTAATTAATTTTTTTACCATAAAGTACGAATTATTATTGTATATTATATACCTTCTATTAAATTGTCAAGTATTTCTGTTTGGTCTAATCATTTTATTCACGGAGTACCTAGCAAAAAAATATTGGGTGAAAACCTTTAAAAATTAAAAAGTCTATAAATAGAAGTATAAATAGCTTAAAAATGGATTAAATGTTTTGAAAAGTTATCACGTCTAGAAAAAACAAAAATCAGTTTTCTATCTAAATTTCGGACGAATATTTTTAACTGAATTAATCAAAAAACTTGTCCTAGCATAATGATGATGGGTGCAGCCACTGTTGTTGGTGAGTAGAAACGTAGGATTGGGAATGTAGGATATAGAGGGGAAATTAATTTTTATCAGAAAGCAACAATAAAACATTGTTAATGTAAAAAACGATGCTGAGCGGAGTTCAGTTTATAATGATGCTTTGTCAGCAATATATGTGTCATATTATAGTAAAATAATTAAATAGGTTTTATATATTATTTTCTTCTAATATTATTTTATTTTAATATTTATATATTTATTTAATAATGTTTGTTTAATATGTTACCGATTTTCTGGGTTCTCCAACATTTTTACAGATTTTCTCATGTATTTTCCCATTTTTTTTTATTTGAGAAAACTCTTGAGAAAATTGAAAAATGACCTATTTAATGTACCTCCCTATAATGATTTTCTTTTAGAAAAAGTGTTACACTTAAAAATCGGAGCAAGATTTCTAGTAGAAAAGTCGCGTACAGATAAAAGAAAAAAAAACATCTTTATTAACCATAAACTTCTTCGCTCAACTCAAAATCTAAAATAAACATCTTTGTAAAATCAATAAAATCTTCATTACACTCAGAATCTAAAATAAAATTAAAAATAACTATAGAATTATATTCGTGCATTTTATTCCCGTAAATTCTACGTATTATTCGATTTTGATAAATTATTTTAAAAACTACAAAGAATATAAAAAAAACGGCCTAATTAATTAAGGAACTAACTAAATAAAAAATTCAACAAAAAAGATCTTTTGTTGTTTTTTTATTGAAACAATAATTTTTGTAAAAAACATAATCCGTACAAATTTAAAATAAAGGATTCCTGGTGCCGTAAATTTATTATTTTTCATTTTTTTCTGTATTTCTCAATTATTATAAAAACCACTAAGACAATTAAAGTTATTATCAATTACTTTTTCAAAAACTAGATTAAAAATACAACAAAAAAAGGGTCTAATCATTTTTCGACTGGAGCAATATTTCTTGTAGAAAACATCTTGTAAACAAATTAAAAACCATGAAAACGGTAACGCCGTGGGGCGCCGTAAATATTTGTCGATTATTTATAATATTCTTTTGGGGTTTTCCCAATTATTTCAAAAACCTCTCGAAAAATCAAAAAATGACCACTTTATCACACCAACCATACAAATTTTCTTTCAGAAAAAGTACTATACTCTATTTTTTTTTGTATTATATTGAAAGTTGAAATACGAATTAGAATAAGAATACAAATAATCTATTGTGAAACCTAAAGAAATATCGATTCATAACTGAAGGGAGGGGGTTTAAAATTCTTTCAAAAATCTGTAAAAATTTGTAAAAAGAAAAACAGAGTTTGTTATTTGACAATCGAATTATCGGTTGACAAAAAATCCAAAACCACTTTGCCAAAACTACATAGCCCTGAATGGTACTATACATAATATAATAGGTGAATATTACAGTTAAAAGTCTTACAGTAACATTATATTGTGGCACATATTTTATAATTTTGTAATATAACTGTATATAACGTTATATAACTGTGGTTCGTACTTTATTATAAAACTACGAACAAAAATTATATGCTAAGAAAGAAGCCATAGCATTTGAAAAAAAAATATAAAAAATATTAAATTTCATTTAAGCTACACACGGTTCTCCAATTTGTTGTATCGGTTTCGTTTATTTTATTGTTTTCCGTAATGATACAGTTTATGGATTGCCACGACTTTTTTCGGACGCTTCAGCCGTTAACTACACGATCCTCGGGGCATTGGTTCCCTGTCACCGTATCAAAACAAAAAAAACCCGCAGTTTTACACCGGAATTTGTACTCGATATAATTGCAGATTGCGTATACTTGACACTTTCTGCCGGGAAATTGTCGTAGGTGTCGAAAGTAGATAGGTATTCGAAGTTTTTCTTAAACGACGATGAACTCGGAATTCGCCAACTCGTCGATTTCCCTGTGGGACATGTTTTACGTGGGTAATACTCGTCGACACATGCACAAGGACGTCGAACACATACCGCAGCATATATACGCACAGGTAAATTGTATCTGCGCCTATAATATAATACCATATAGTATATATACACTGTAAACACAAAGCAGGATCAGTCACAAGATAATAAATATACAGCTGTGATATTATAATTCACAATACTATAAATCGATCGGAAACACGGCTAAAGGCACAGCAGAATATAATAACAAAATAGTATTTATTTTTTTATTAATTGAAATATTTTATCGACGATTTCTTCAGGCTTGGCCATATTTCTTGATTCTGTTGGTGTTAGAAAACGGATTGCGATTATGGCAAAAAAAAGATGTGCTCAGACTCAACGACAGCATAACATCGATGAGCCACGCCATTTTGCAAGAGCTGTTCGCCAAGTATGTGTTTATATAATAATAATAATAATAAATAAACAATGAAACGACTGCCCCATTTGAATGTGTTTAGATTCGTATTTAGAGGCTCGGAACATTGTTTATACTTTTGGATTTATGCTAACTATAAAATTTACGAACTTCCATGGGATTCGACGGGAATCTGGTGTTTTGTCGCGATTGCAGTTGATTTCTGTTATTATTGGACACACAGAGCCAGCCACGGTGCAAACTTCTTCATTGTCTGTAATGCAGAGGAAAAAACACGGTTAATATGATTTAAATTTTTTAGAAATTCACATTTTTTGGGCACAACACCAGGTCCACCATAGTTCCGAGGAATTCAACGTCACCGTCGGTGTTAGACAGTCGGTGTTTCAGAGTTTAGTCGGAGTTGTAAGTGATAGAAAAAAAAAAAAAAACAAATATTGTAGTAAACCTTAAATTTATTTTATAGCAACCGTGTTAAAATAATATGTAATTTGTAGTTGTGCTACGTACCTCTTGCTTTGATCGTTCCACCGGTTTTACTGTTGGTACACCAACAGTTGAATTTATTGTACCAGATTTGGATTCACACCGAAACGATATCGACGCTTGGACCGTTGGATTATGTTCTGAACACTCCGGCCTATCACAGGGTACACCACGGTATATGGACTGATGTATATAATACCATGTATTTTGTGTCCAGCAAGCCAATTGCAGTTGGAACAAGTATTCTTAATGAAATTGCGTAAAATTTCATATTTTTAGGGAGTAATCTGTATTGTTTGGACAAGAACTACGGTGGCGTTTTAATTGTATGGGATCGGATTTTCGGGACGTTTCAAGAGTTGCGCCCGGACAAGCCGATCACCTACGGTCTAGTGTACCAGAAAAATACGTTTAACCCACTGGCCTTGCAAGTAAAAACACTTTATCGCATATAAAACATCACTATTATTATATGTAGATTACGGGGTCAGGCTAATAAAAGTTACGTGTACCAAAGTTACGTAACTCAGTTAATTTTAACCTAAGTCCTGTGTTGTGGTTTTGTCTAGATTGATACATATGTTAATTGAATCGTCTATATGTCTTTTTTAATCGATTGAAATATATTTATTAAAAATTATAGGTAAATGAAATAGTTATTAAGTTACATCAATCACATAACTTTAATGAGACATCTAGATGTGTACCAAATCTGTACCTTTTATAGATGCAATTTTTGTTGACAATATAAAGTTAAATGTGTTCGAATAATCAAATTCAAAAATAAATATTAATTCTTGTACGTTAAATATCGTGAAAATAAAAATTTGGATCATATAAAATTGAAAATATACAAAAAAAATATTCTTTAGAAATACAATGTAATATTGCAAATTAAATAATATGAGACTTCTCAAAAACTAGCCGATAACGATAATTTTCAAAAACTACATTATAATTATCGCACATCATACATTATTTAGTCGATAATTTAATGTAATATGTAACTATAGATATGTATACAGATGCTTCATTTTTAAGTTACTTCTAATGTATCGTAATGATAGTTTTAACTATTTGATTAACTCGGCTAACCATGCAGTATAATATATACATCATGTAATAATGGCTTTTATTGTTTATTATTTTTCGTACCTATAGTTTTTTTACAACTTTCACGTGTTCCATAAGTGGAACATTATGAAGGGCTGGAAGAACAAATTAAGATCGGTCGTCAAAGGCCCGAGTTGGATACCCGGTCTGTCGTGGACGGGTCACGACGGAAGGCGTGCTAGCGTAATTGACTACATCATTATAATATTACCTAAACTATACCTACTGTTTTAAACAATATACTATATACCTGGTATTTTTTTTTTATTTTAAACACCGACGTCATTTGATTTAGGTTCCTGGACGCAGAAAAAAATACGACGTGAAAATATCGTTTGCGTTTAAGTTGTATTTACTAATCCATTTTGTTGCGGTCATTTACGGATATTCCATTTATTTAACGGAAATACCTCGTTTGGTAAGTTCATGTAAACTACATGATAATATTATTACACTATTGTCGCAATGGTTATCTGCAATTGCAGTTATTGCAGATAATTTGAAGGGATTACATTTTTGTAAACTACAATGATATTAAAAATATTGGGTTAGATAAGTAGCGTGCATATAACTTTTGTATGGGGGTGACTGGGAAAAGACAATGGCAATAAATTTCTTCGTGAGGGAATAATGTTTTTTTTAATCTATATATGAATTTGTGTTATGTAAAAATGAAAAAAAGCAATGGGGAGGGGATCAGACTCTTTCCCCCCATTTACCTATGTGTCCCTAGGTTAAATAATAAAATAAAAAAATGTACAAAATGTTAATAATTCACACAAAAAACAAATATATTATTTTATTACAATAATCATTATTATTCTAACCACTTAAAATTAATAAAACATTAATAACACACACACACACACACTCGATACATACAAACATTTTGGTTTGAACATTGTTTATATGACGCGAATCTGATGTACGAGGTTACCTCACAAAATAGCTGATTCACTAAACTGTTTACCCGATATGCGTCTGATGCGGGAGTAAGGCAAATTAGGATGAGCCATTAACAGCTGTGAAAAAGAAATTGGTTTACACGACGTAAAAACTGGCGAATCGCCTTTGATGTGTGTTCAAAAACTCACTACAGTACAGTGGTCCGGTTCGCTGTGAGGCCGCTTCGCGCGAAATCACGTCTCGCCTCGTCGCGCACGATGTGACTCGCGCATCAGATTCACGTCTTGTGATCCCAGATTTAGGATATAATTATTAATATAATAACACATTATAATATCAATAAATCACATATATAATATTATTAAAAATTGATTGCATTTTAAACATTGATAATGCAATACAATTATACTAAATTAATACAAATAATTAAATAACATACGTATTATTGCATATGATAATTAGGCTATAAAACAAAAATCTAGTGAGATAACTAATACTATTATTAACGTATATGCGGTTAACACACGGTGTTCAATGAAAAAAAAATAAAAAATATGTTTCGTTAATTTTACCAAATAATACTGTTTAGCGGTTTATAAAATAAATGTACAGACTCAAAAAGACATATTTAGATTTTGTTTTAACAAATTATATTGTTTTAGTAATTAGTTATGGTATTTTTCGTCTTCTGATCGGAAAAATTAAAACAAATCAATAATGTTTCGTAACATTTTAGTCACAATTTAATTATCTGTCTAATTTATAAACAATACGCTTGAAATCATTGGCCAATCACACACGGTTACGATTTGATTTATAATTAACGAACGCATTTTAAACCATAGAACGGACGAAATTTAAATAGTAGTTTAATATTACAATAATTTTTACTTAATGGTATTCAATAAATGTTTGTTTCGTTTTTTTTTTTTTTAACGAAAACCATACTTATTTTTTATCTCCCTAGGTAATTACAATTTATTATTATATATAATAGGTAAAAGTTCCAACTTATTTTTATGACTAAAATACATATATATATATATATATCCTAACTTAACTTTCTCATTAATATTCGAATAAAATAATACACGGAGGACGTAATAATAACTGTCGTATGCAATTACCAATTACAAAATACATAATAGGCTTGGTGTAATTCTATAGTATTTTCGAAATCTGTCGAGTATAAATTTTCTGTAGGCACCAAAGATAAATTAAAAACATATTATCACCTATAAAACCAAAATATGTGAATATGTTGTTTGAATGTTTTCACATTATGGCCATTTCAAATTAAAATACGTATATAATTTTATAATTAATTTAAAATATTAAACGCTCATTGAAAATCTGAAGTTCCTATAACGTTCTCCTCAAACCGTACTCAAACATAATTAATTATACTTGGTTATATTAATTGATTATCAACTGGCGTATCGGGTTCGGAAAACAGGAAGGTACCGAAATATGTGTCTATTTTAATATTTTTTTGTTTGAAAAAGTTCGGCAAATGTTAAAATTATTAGTAAAATACTGTTGGATTTTTGTTTTAGTTTTTTTTTTTTTTTTTATTATAATATTATATAGATCATTGGTATTTTTTGAGAAAACGTTGGGATTTGTTTTTTTTTTTTTTTGTGCATGAGTTGTGATATTAGTTTTTTTTTTTTTTGAAATTTTAATGAGTTATGTTTAATGTTTAAATTTTAATAAATGATATATAAAATGTATTCAATACAAAAAATAAAACAAAACCGGATATTTTATAATATATTTTATTATAATTTATAATACTGAGTTTTATGCTAATACATATAATAACCAAAAATTGAGTCAATAATTCGGCACCGTCAGACTATCTTTGAAATTTATTTGATTAGAAAAAAAAAAAAACAAAATCCCCGTAAAAATATAGTTTAATAATATTTTGAAAATACTGTATGTATATAGTTATGCGTGTAATTGGTTGGAATGAAACGGAAACACTTGCAAATTTGTGTAAGTTTAAAATACCTATATAGGTATATATAATAATATAATAAATATTCTTCAAATTTTTCATTTGTATAATAAATTTAATTTGTATTAGATAAATAAATTTAACAGGTACATAAATATCAATCCACGTTTTGTATTAATAATAATTTTATTATTTACGACTTATTTATTAATTTATATAAATGTTTGAGTATGTTTATAGTTTAACATAACTTTCAAACGCTATTAATATTTTTTAGTTGCCTAGGTTAGGTCATGTTTTCATTTTTATTATAATTTCTTAGGGTAGTTAACTACATCACACACCGAGGAATATCAAACTGAAGGTCACTGTGCCAAAAAAATCTAAATAAAATATACTTATGTAAGCAGAGTATATTTGATGAACATAAAAAAACTGCCATTTTTTTCTTGTATTTTACTTGAATTTAAAGTTAAAAAAAAAAAAAAATCGAACCGTTTAAAACGAATACAATAGATTCTAGGGAGGAAAGACTTACTATGTTAATTTTTGATATCTTTTTTTTTTTTTGTATTAATTGTTTCTTATATAATTAATTATTTTACTTTTTTTTTTTTTTGGACCAAATCACATAAATATATATTATGCTGAATAATAAAATGTCTTGTTACTATTATGTACGTTTTATCTGACTAAAAAGATTATAAGCCATAGAATTATATGCTTTGAGCCGTTTAAAACACCTGTATTTAAGTTGGGCGGTTATTTCGTTAAGCAATTTCAAAATTTAATTTGATTGTATTGAAAACTATATAAAAAATTGACTTAAGCCCTACTTCCCTGAAATGAAAGATAAAATACGTGACGAGACGAATTTGTCTGTAATATTTATCGTCTAATACGGTCGCCAATGTTTTTTTTTTTTTTAATAGCTATTATCTAATCGTTTGTGTAATTTTTTTCATTGAATATATTATTATATTTTTTTGTTCCCTCTTTAGAAAATCAATGTCACGACTCTGGAAACGACAATTTTCACATCTTATATTGTTTGGTCGCTGACGAATGTCGGTTTAATGTTTGACAAGTCTCCGTGGTCAAATTATTACGAATTTTCAAGGTGCTTAACGGCGTTTATTCATCTAATCTATTTGCGACCAATAACGACGGGGAGTCAGTTGTCCGACACGGCCAATGCGTATCAACTGTTAATGGGTACGTCGATTGCTTTCTGGACTATAATATTATGTTTAAAACGATAAATTCCTGGTGTGTGTTTTACCGATTATTGTACGTGGAGCACATGTGGCGTGTAAAAACCTCGGGAGGAAAAACGAAATTTATATATTTGTATGTTTATACCGACAATATATGATTTTTTTTTTTTTTTTAAAAATCGAGCCGTCGATCGTTAATACATTACAATTTTGAAAATGGCGTGATACCACAGGATATTTTTTAGTGAATATACATTGCGTGTTCACTGCGTCCCCTTCTTAAAAGAGCTCTATGAACAGAAGGGCCAAACCGGAAATTAACGTAACCCTTAACTTTTGAACTTCCTCAGTAACCGCCCTCCCAACCATGAGTATAGCCTGTATACAAACAATTTAATATTTTCTTAAAAAAATCTTTACTAATTCAATATCAATTCACTATTTTATTTTCTAGTGGATACATAGTAAGTAAAATCTTTCATTACTGCATTTCCGTTTGGACACAAAAAACATTCTAAAAATTACTTGATAATTTTCGTTAGAATTTTAAAAATGGCGACTACTATTAAAATATTATTTTAGAGTTTTGTTAAATATAACACAATATCAACAATTAAAACTATCGAGTTAACATTACGTGTTTGAAAGACAAAAATAAATTATGAATTTATACAGGGCAATCCATTAAGTATGCTCACCTAATTTTTATGGTTATATTTTGTATGTATTAAAATTCTGACTTCTGGAATTTTTAAGTGTGGTTAAAGCTGATATTTTCGAATACTTTTCCAGCACGAGTAAACCTGTAACGATACCAAATTTGGTTTTTTAAACGAGAGCCTATAATACCAATTCCATAAATATATTGGATATTAATTTATATAAATTTTGGTGTTGGCATTTTTGATATATGTCAACACGTTAGCAAGATATTCCATTTTTAAATTTTTAAGTTTGGGTAGTGGAGAGTAGTGGATAACTATGAAAAAGCCGCTCACTATGCCCACCACACAAATGATGCTTTTTTTAGACTGTTAGACTTAGTATTTTAAGGTAGAATAACTAAGAAACTTTTCATTAAAATTTCGATTACAATACGTCAAACTTTTTTAGAAATATCATCTGATTTACAATTTGCATTAAAGTATTTTTGATTTAAAAAACCAAAGTTGGTGTTGCTACAAAATACTCTTTAAGTGAAAAATCTAAGTATTCGCAAATATTGGCGTTAACTATAATTAAATATTCAAAAAAAAATCAGAATTTTAATATGTTTAAAATTTAACGATGAAAATAGGCGAGCGTGTACAATGCAAAAACAAAAAAAAAAACAAAAAACAAAAATAACAAATTGTTCGAAACTCTAATATACTTATATAATTAATTTAGTAAAACTCTGTTGCAACATTGTGGTATATCAGGCGTTTTACGATAAAGGTGCACATCTTATCTTAGTATTTGGTTTTTAGGTTTATATAAAAAAAAAAAAAATCATTATAACCGTAATATATGTATATGCATAATACATAAAAAAAAAACAATCATAAATAATAATTATTAATTATATTCTCTAGACAAATTATCGGAATTAAATATTCCGAATTATAATAATAATAATAATAAACACAAATCAATAATGATTGCCATTATATGGTATCGATTGGAAATCGGGTCGATAATTTCTTTTCGAGTATAACGATATTTACAATTTTTTTTTTTTTTTTTTTATAACAACTTATCGTACGTATGTGGTTTGTATTTTCACCACAATTAACATAAAATTTAGGTATATTAATTAATGCCTTTGTAATTTTGTTAAGTTTTTATAAAAACGTTGTAGTTTATTGACAGGTTTTATTTATGACGTTACCTATACATAATATCGTCAGTACTGTTTTCTGACGGTCCATATTCTTCTCGGTCCAACGAATTCATTAGTTCTTCGTTTTTGTTCCGTACTGAAATTACAATAACATAATAATATTAACACGGTGATATGTACGAAGTACTCTTAAATATTTATGAGAATTTTCAAAAAATAAATCCGTCTTATTTACAGGTCCGGCAGCGTGTGGTCAGGATATGTATTTGCTCAATAGTTATTATAGATTTAGTTAAATTATTTGTAGCGTTATCTAGTCGAATTTTATAAATATAGTTCAATTGTAATAATATTATTATGACGATTTTCATCGACGTACCTATAGTGAAACAACAAACTTAATTATAGTAATTCTGTTAATATTTTTTGCATTTTGACTTAAGTTACAATTTATGTAAATTGAATTATTTGTAAAGTGCTGCACTCTATACCATGGTTACGTTCTACACTCGTTTTGTATAGCATACATTTATGATTTCGTATTTAATGATAGAGGGCGCGCGATGTGCTGTCTACAATTTTACATAAACATTAAGAGCCTAAAAATTGTTTATTGTAATAATATAGGTGCATAGACGAAATTCGAATTTTCGTATAATTCTTAAATCTGGTAAAATTTATAATTATTAGCAATTTAGTTTTATATAATTGTATTTATATATATTCATTTCAATTCTTCATCGGTATTAATTCACTATCAGTAAGTGTCAACGCTCACAAAATGCATCTGGCGAATGTTGATTTTAATTAAAATAATTGTATTTTGTATACAAGAGAACTTAATTACCGCGGAGATTTTTAAAATTATTTCAAAGAAAATCATCGAGAAATAATTTCGAAAATTCGCAAATCGACATCACGATATCATTCACGGATGAAATCGAATTATTCTTTAACGATATAAAATTAAATTTTAATAAACTCACCTAGCTCGTCGATTACGGGTGCCATCCTCAGAGTGACGCCGACTAACAGCATGCAAGTTATCAGCAATAGACCGGCTGTGATTATAATCGTCCACCGCGCTCTCTGGGGCAAGTCGTCTGGATGTAACGTGTGTACAGCATGGGGTCTCATTAAATTGCTATCATTATATCTGTCCTCGTGGCCAAACCTTGTCCTCCTACTTTTTTTTTTTGATCGGATTTTCGGGTTTTTCACCTCTATATAGTGCCGATTTTCGTCAGACATCCCAGCAGTAGATCTAATAATAATAACATTTTGAACTTAAAAGTGTAATCGGTTTTTAAACACAATTTATAATAATTCTATTAACTGCTATTCTATGTTAACAATATGCTTTTTTAGACTATGAGCTTTGATGAATGTTATGGTTTTACTATGTACGGTTTATTTTATTATTTTTGTTTCTACTAACAATTCTATTAGAAATTTTGCTTAGATCCTAAACTTAATAGGAACGTTTTTGTATATTTTATAATTTGGTTAGTCTACCGAGGTGGTTATTTTTTAATTTTTCCTGTAGTCTTCTTATTATACAAGAAAACTGGACATTTTTTTTATAATTCTAATTTTTGCTGATTTAACGTTGCCTTAGTGAAAGAATTCGACTAATAATACTTCGTTCACTAAAATTTTTCGTTAGGAATAGTTCATCGCTGCATACAGATTTAAATTAAATTATTCTGAACAGGGTGTTCCATTTTGCTATGTAGCAAATTAAAAATCGAGCAGCTCTATAATGTTACAATACTATTATTTTTATCATCCTTATTTTTGGTGGTGAAAGGACTACATAATTGTGTTCAATAAATAGATCATCATTTATTTGGCTACACAGCATGCGGTGCTTAAATAGTGTTCTACTACTTTCCCTTTTCCAAACTTGAACGTCAACGGGTTAATGAAAATAAAACAATGTCAACATCGAATGTTATTTAAACTAATACTCCATCTATTTATGAATTTAAGATCAAAAGAGTGTGATCGTTTTACCTCCAAAAACAATGATAATGCAACATTTAGAGTTCCTAGATTTTAAATTGTCAAAAAAAAAAAAAAAAAAAAAAAATGAGAATAAAGTTATTAAACTTCGAAATTCACAATGGGTATATTTTTGTGAGATACATTGTATGATTTTCAACTACCTTCCAAAAATATTAGCATACCCATTAGCAGTATCACTGTTTTTTTTTTTTTTATAATTATTTGATGATTTAAAAAAAAAAATGACCTTTGCAACGCAGCTGTAAGTATGTGGCCACCTAAATAGGGTACGGGTGCTCTTTGGGATTGAGACCATCCTTCACTTTGCAACACGGGTTCTTCTTGTCGAACGATCCCGTCGCAATGGTGATGATGATGGTGGAACAACTGTCGGTTCGGAGTGTCCGGATGATGGTGATGGTGGTGGTGGCGGTGGTGATGGTGTTTATGACATGAGTGCATACAGCGACCTTTTCTCCGTCTACTTTTCATACGAGTAAAAAGCAAGAATTAATTCATAACAAAAAAAAAAAAAAAATACCTAGTGTATACCTAATTATTGTTTTAATTCTGTATTATAAATTAGTTCGGTGTTCATAATGCCGAATGAATTACGCAACGATTATTATAATATTTTTTATAAATAACATTAGTTATCCCCGTAAATAATATAAAAACCTAGTAAAATCTGTCAGGTGAAATAATATTAGTTGATGATACTCAATTACTTAGCGGGTGATTTAGTATCACGTATAAACGGGGTGTGTATATATATATGTATAATGTTTATGGTGCAATGAAAATAAGTAAATAGTTTTTGATTATTATTGTTACTTACGTATACTTAGGTACATGTGTTATACTTAGAATTTTCCAAGAAGCGAAAACAATTTCCAAAACCAAATAACGATTATGTCCTACCTGCTGCCACACTTTTAACCACAGAATGTTATAGGTACCTATATTTTACATAAACGTACCCAAGTTTGCGTTTGTTTTTCGAGTTTTTCTCCGCCAATTTTTGCACTAATAACTTTGGCTGAATCCTCCATTTTGACTTCGTCTCACAAATATCCGCTTTGATAGCTATAACTTTGCGGTTGACCATTGTCGCCAGGATATGATGTAGTCGGCATTCTTCGTGGTTTAGCTAAAAGAGTATAATCAGAATCGATTAATAAAATAAAAGTTAACACGAATGCCATTTAATTAGAAAAAAAGTTGAGGTTAAAATTATTTTATTTTATTTACGTATTACTATTACTATTAAATAATAATATGACACTCACGTCACCCGATTGTTCCGGATCAGTGGAAACCGCTTTCTCCTGTACCTGGAGTCTTGTATTCATTACGTAAAATTTCGATTAATAACTGTCGGCAGTCACATTGTAACCTGCTGTCATGTGAAGATAACAAAATTAATAACACGTAAGTGAAGGCTTCTTAAGAAAAATACAGCAGTGGGATGTAAAATAAAAAAATTGAAAACACTATAATATGTATTATACAGAGTTTTTCATTTTGAACAATCCCATTATTAACGTGTTAAATAAAACATTTTATTTATGCGCCGGAGGAGAAGATTTGATGGAACAAAGATAAATTGGAGAGATGGACACGGTTGTGTAAAAGCGAGACAGAGGAATATTATATGAGATATATTTTGGAACATATAAATGAAATGTATGTAATAAATATGAAATTTTTAGATGGTTTGTGGCAATACATAATTTAGATTTCGAGTGTAGCGATGAATGCGTTGGTTTTATAATGATGTTTATTTTAATTTTTTTTTATTGTGACAATAATTTATACCAGAAATCTTGCTTCGACATGTAAGTGTGGTGCCTTTTCTGGAAGGAAATTTTATCTAGATGGTACTTTAAGGAAGTCATTTTTTGATTTTCCAAGCAGTTTTTATAATAAGTGGGAAAAACAGGGCTAAAATGTCGGAAAAACAAAAATTATTTACAAAAATAATGAAAAATAAAAACGTGTTTCTTGGAATAATACAACTGTCTATATACAAGATTTTAAACGGAAGAATAATCACAAAATATTGACATTTAACTATTGAATAATACAAATATATACGATTGTAGAAGTGTCTGTTGCATATTCTGCATTAAGTAAGCAAAGCAAACTGTTATACGATTCACCCCAACCACGAAGGAAGAAATTATAGAAATTTATCATTATATTGTCTATGGCGAATTTGAATTTATTATAATTTGTCGGAATTATCGAATATTAAAAATGATAATTTTTTTCTTCCCAGACTGCAGGGTTTTTATGCATTTAGCACACAAATGTCGTATACGTTATAATAATATGTGAACGCTAAAAAACGCGTTTAACGAAAACGTTTATAGTCACTGGTGTAGCCCCATAACTCTGGGATGTTCTGAAAAGTTTTTGATACGGACTGATGCACTGGTGATTGTCTTTATAATCCACATAATGGCGAATATACCATGTCATTACTTACCGAGCTTAATCTTCGTTTTCGGTATCTAGTAAATTCACAATATACCCGGACAGCGCCATTAAATGTACGACTTTTACGTCTCTCCCGAAAGATTTACAACAAATTATACACATTTCATAATAATATCAAACGCAAAAGAAAATATTTCTAATAAGCTGTTTTTAACGGTAAATCGCATTATTATACAATATATATGTGCACACGTATATGATTAATATAATAACATAATGTTAATATTTTATTAAACGGCATTTTGTGTACGCAATTTCAATACGTCGACGTATTCGGGGTAGATTACAAGTATGCCATACGATTGATCCACAGCGAATTAATATTAATACATTATACACCTGTACGAATATTAATTGTTTGGCGAAAAACAAAAGCAAGGGAACTTGTGTTTATGTTCATATTAGATTCCATTGGTAGTATTCGATCGGAATTTTTCGACGAATTAAACTTTACCCGTGCGCGTAATCGATTTCGAATATTCAAATAATAATCGCACGAATTTGTAAAATGTTATTATTATTAGTTTATTTACGCTAAATGATTGTTTAGCATGGTTAATATACAGATAAAATTATAACTTAATAATTAAAAAAACCTATACAACGATTATTATAGCACGTGATAAGAAAAAACAGTAAAAAGAATATAACGGAAAAATACACAACACACACACACACACACACACATATATATATATATATATATAGGTAAAAATAAAAATTGCAATATTATTTTTTTTTATAATTGTATAATATTGATAAGACAATAATAATGATAAAAATACTAATAACAATAATAATAATAATAATAATAATAATATTATTATTAAGGCGTTAGATTATAATGCATACAAGTAGTAAGTTCTGAAAAAAAAAAAAATGATCGATAGCTTTCTCGTAGGAAAAAAGTTACAAGTTACTAGAAAAATTCACTTTTAGATGATTGGAAAAATTACGAAGAAAGAAATGAAAAAAAAAAAAACATTTTTCACGGAGGAGAAACCACTCATCAAAATATTGGAGGCGTGAAAAATTGACACGAAACCAGGAGTAATTTATTATTTATCACGAGTGTTGAGTATACTATATATTTTAAGGCGACTGCACTTGGCCTGTTTTCCATATTTTTTTTTTCAAATGATTTACAGAGTGAATCGGCTTAGATTTTGTAGATTATATTTTCAAACTTTATGGTAAAACTGATCAATACCGGTTGAATTCTTTGTTGAGAGTTGTTAAGACCTTTAAACTGTAAATTTTAACAATTTGTTATTAACAATTGTTAACAATTTGTAATATCCACGAACAGAACCCTTAATACCACCACCGCCGTGTAAAATTTTACATCGTTCATCGGCTTGTAATGACTTATGCTCTGTGATTATTTTTAAATATTATGTTTTTTTTTTTTTTTTTTGTAATAAATCATCCGGTTTTATGCATGTTATACGGTATCGTTAGGAGGATATTATACATGAAAGATAAACAAGATATAGAGGCTATATCGGAATGATTTATTGCGTCCGGAAAGCTTTTCGCTAGTGCATAGACGGTTGTATGCTAACGTCTATGTAAGAATTTATAGAGACCATTGTACACCGTACATGCTTTCAATGGTTCTATGTATATCATCTGGAACAGACATTATAGTATATGTATACTATTAGTTAAAGACAAATAGACTACACATAGATTGTATTATATGGAAAGTAATATGTATATACATTATAGTGCGTCGCAGTATAATAATTAACTTCCAAGGGTTCAAACGATCCCTTATACACACGTTATATATTATAACGGTAACAAATTGCAGGATAAACATTACTTTTTCAAACCTGTTAGTAATCCATGAACGATTTTTTCGGCTCAAATTTGTATGGACGCACATTGAGAATTATTCGAACGATGGCGTTTTTTATTTAAAATGAACCATTATGTTAAACGGTTATTTTTTAGCGCAATCATTGTGTTGTACGCTTAAACAATACAGGATTTATTTAATTTTAATTTTAATTTTGCAAGTCTTATACGTAATTTTTATTCGGTAGGTGAGTACCTAATGAGTTATAAATAAAATTGTTTGACCAAACAGAAAATTTAACAAGAGGTTTATTATGAGTCATACTTTGTGGTTAAAAAAAAAAACAATCGAATTTAATGTTAATTTTTTTTATACGAATTTTAATATCAATTAAATTTTGATGAAAATCGTATATATTGAGGCCTTTTTAATGATGAACAAACGAACTTCACTCTAAATCTATTAAAAATTGTATATCCTTACAAGAGTGACGCATCCTTCTGCAGTATTAGCTCTTTTATTTTTCTTGCAACAAACATTGTTTATACAATTAGAATAAATAGTGTAAGTGTTAAGAGTCAAGTGGATGACAAATATTTTCAAGTCCTAAATTTAAAAATTTAATTCAGAATTTTGATTTTCAAAATACATTCTTGAAGCGTTTTATGTGAGCGTTTTGCTCATATTCCTTTTAAGAGTAATAATTGTCAAAATCGTTTTAAAATATAAAATATCAATATATAATAAATAATATAATAATTATAAAAATAAAGAAAATATTTGTTTGTTTATTTTTTAATTAGGCCATAGTATACGATTCAACTGCAGTTATTATGAAAAATGTGTTTTTGTTTATCCCAATCGTTTAGACACAACGGTTAAAGAAGTACTTATATAAATTAGATATAGGCAATAAATAAAATAAAATAAATAAAACTGTTAGGTACTCATATAGTTGACAGAGTGCAAAAAAAGATTATTTACGTTAACGTAAACTGATTCCCTTAAAATTGTATTTTATTCAATAGAAAAGTATTGCTTTAATAACTATATGTTAAAAAAAAAAAAATCATGAGTATTTTAGATTTATAGTGGAAATAGACATGTTTTTAAAATGTGGGTTTTTTTTTTGGGTAAGGAGCGTAGAATTAACTGGTTAGTAGAATGTTTTGAAGGTTTTTTTCCGATAACGTAATGGTAAGTAGTTCACACCGATAAATATTTAGCGATCTAGTAATTTATTGACTTTATTCATTGGTTTTTGTGAAAACGTCAAAAAATAAAAAAAAAATCGAGTGAAGAAATTTTAATAAAACGAAAGTTACACTAAGATTTTTAGTTTATTTATCCGTAATCGTCTTTCGAATGAAATATACTATATGTACTACATTCGAAAGATTTATAGTTGCTTTAAATATATTCCAAGATAATAATTAATCACAGACTCGTGTTTCAGTGGCAAATACGAAGGAAAGTAATTTTTTTTTTTTCTTATTTTATTTTATTCTTATTTTTTTCATTTCCTAAATCGATTATAAACTAAAAATATAAATTCGTTTTTCAATCTTATCGAGTGATATTTTAATAAATCAAAATATAATCTACATAATTAATATAGTTACATGTACTCATGACTTGAATTCACGCGTAAATTATTATACTCGTATTGTAGTAGGTAAGTCATTCATAATAAAATATTATATCGAAGAGTCGCAAAATATTCAATATTGAAAAGCACTAAAAATATTTTAGGTAAATATACGAGTAGGTATATAGATTGTAAGAAAATATTTGTCCACGCCACCCACACACAAGCTTTATATTACTAACTTCTTTCCCTACTCCTACTCCTTCGATTCTTTTCCCGATTATATATTTTTTGCATTTTTGGGGTTAGCCGCCTCGGTCCTAAATCTCCTGCATCTGACACCGTCTCTCATAGTATGCATTCTCTAGTTTTCGGATAAATAAAATAATAAATTCTTCGCTCCACGCCGAGTCTATATTATAATCCACAAAATGAATGTGTCAGTCGGCGTAAACCCTATGATACTTGATCGGAGGGAAAATGCTCGCTAGAGAAATTAACCAATGACACCAATTCAAATTGTTAAACTATCAGTGGTGGGGAGCGGGGGTTTAATTTCATTAGTGAATATTTGACCTCTAATATTTTACCGAGAGGTGGAGAGGAAATGTCACCATAACACACCGGTATTATATATTATACTTAGGTACGTAGTTTATACTTTTTTTTTTTAAAACTGTTTATACATAGTTTAATCTAATAATTCGTACTTGGCGAATTCTCTGAACGTAATACATACGTAGATTGCGTTATATAGTTATTCTCGAAAATTGAATTACATTTTTCTTCGCAAACTATAAAATACATATTCTACAACTTAAATTAATTACCTTTGCCCGAACTAGAAACTTTTCGGTCTGTAATATAATAATAATGCGATAACACCACATCGTCAGGAAATGTAGAGTTTAGACGATACAATGTTGATAAAGTTCAATAGCTACGTCAAAAACCCAAGATAAAATTACTTAAAGTTAATATATTATTAAAATGTGAGCGATATAAAACCAAAAACTATAATTTTTGGTACCTAAGATTTGTGTGATTTTTATAAGTTTTTAAAAATGCAATATTTCGTCTGACGGGATTAAAATGTATTAAAATGACTTTAACAATTTTTAAAATCATTTTTGAAATTGCTGATTCTGTTTTCGATATTTAAAATAAACCATAGCAAATTGACTTTCTGTCAATTTTCGAACGTCATGCTATTATGCTATTTACTTCGGAGAAATTGTTTTTATATATTATAACGGTTCTACGCATTTATTATTAAGGCCGTACGGGTTGTCGCTTTATTTATATAGGTATCTAGCGTACAATATATATATTTTAAATTTAGTTAACTGTTTTCCGTCACACGACTCTGCACAGAGTACAAAAAGTGCCTTTATAATATAAAAGTACAAAATAGAAACGAGCAAGATAAATTTTGTGATATTTGACGTTTGATCCTTTGAATTATCATATTATATTGAAAATGTTATTCACGTGTGGTCGCAAAGTGAGTTGCGGATATCATACGTAAGCTATAAAATAATAATAAAAGAAAAAAATACACATGCATAAACAATACCCGAGATTAAAACGAAATCACGAACGCGGAAAAGTCGTATTGCCTCAGTTTTTCAAATACATGGTTGGATTTACATTTTTGCGCTATGGAAATACGAGGTGGATATTACAATAATACATTCAAAAGCAAAAATACATTTTTGAAAAAATAGATGTTTTCATGTTCTTACGAAAAAATAATAAATACACTGCTCTATAAAATTGATAAAATAATAACCTTGCTATACGAATTTTTAATTTTTATAGAATCGATTATAATATCGGTACATACTTTTTTATACTGTTGAAAAAATAAAACAATTTGAAATATGATATATTAGGTCGTCATTTAAAAGTTTGAAAATACGCCACTGGGAATTCCATATTATATAGTACGATAAATTTACATTATGGAAAAAGAAAAAATACAATCATATGTCATATTGTATTAAATTTTTTCATGAAATTGTGTACAATATTGAAATAAAATCGCTCTCCTAAAGACAGGTGAACGAACAAAATACGTTATAATGTTTAAGACAGTTTTCACGGCGTGAAATACCACCATCATCACCGGTAAACTTTTACTACGTTTATAAAAATAATATAAGTAATAAATCTAAGTTAATACAAGTATTCTGTAAAAATGTCATAATATCTCTGTGATTTTTTTAAACCGAATGAAATACGATTTTTCCGGTTTTCCAATTATTATGAAAAATGTTTCGAAATTCAATGAATTGACCCTCTTTAATACACCTTCCATCTAGATCCAAAATGTTTAAATGAGCTCTCTTCTCATTAGATTGAAGCATGATTTCTGGCGGAAAAATTGATTACAAACAGAAAACAAGTATACACCAAAACATTTCTTGCTGCATTTAAAGTTAAAAAAATAGCACACATCATAATAGAATTAATACATTCTTCGTACACAGAATCTCATAACAGTGTAAAAGATTAATTCGTTTTACCGATAACTCGGAACAGTCCCGAGTTAGATGTGTATACGTATTTATGTAAATTATGATTAATCTACAAACATGTTAGAATAGTACAAACGTATTGACAGCTAAGTGTGTATATATATACAGTCCATAAAACAAACAAAAACAATTTTTAATATTAATATCATTCATTGAGTCCATGCCAGTGATGCTAGTGTAATATTCTCTATTGGAAAATCCACGAATTTGCTTTTATATCAATTATTATTATTGTACTTAATACTAATTTAAAATGCAGATTGTTTGAATCTTTTGTGTAATAAAAATAATAATTTTAATATAGAATTATTTATATATTTTTTAGCAGTCCTTATTATCGTCTGAAACACAATGATGAGAAACAATTGTAATTTTATAGAAAAATAATAATATAATGCAATTTCCAAATGTTACGATTTTCAGTACACTGCGAATAATTTAATTTAATAATAATAATAATTTAATAATTTAATTCTGCATAGCTACGGTTATAACAATTTATAATACCATTTGAAAGCAACAAATTAGTGTTCTCGTAAAATGTATTAATTTCCATATAATGAATTTCTCAAAGAAATATTTTTGGAAACCAAAATCTCCATTGTTAATTATTAGTAAATTTAACTCCGTACAATAAATCAGATGTTTCTACAAAACATAATCTTGTGGACAAAAAACGTTTGGGTATTTTTTGTTTTTTGGGTAAAAACTATTGTAGAAACTTGCAGTTTTCACAAAAAACTTACTTTGGCCTTTTTTTGACTTGATAACAATTTTAAAACAGCTTTTTTTTAAAGGCATTTTTGAGCTATATATAGACATTTAAATTTTCTAAGTGTTTATGTAATTTTTATTTAATGGGTATTTTGTGTATAAAATTTGTAAGAACAAACAGAAATGCTTGTAAATTTTACTGGAGGTTCATTATAAGTCATACAAGGTGTTCAAAGAAAACAAAATCTTTTAAGAGTTTTAAAATGAAATTTTAACGAAAATCTTAAAAACTGCGGCCTTTCAAAATATGTGTAACCGAACTCCGTTTAAAATTGTTATTTGTTATTAATGGCGGTTTTTCGTTGCTATAGATATAAATTAAATAACTTTATGTATTCTACTTTTTCAAATTTTGCTTATTTCAGTTACACTCCCTTTCTCAGCATCATTTTTTTTTTTTTTTTATAAATTAAACGTACACAATTTGACAGCATTTTTGATTAGGAGATGTGGTTTTTTATCTATTACTGATGAAAAGAATTTTGTGATAAAATCGTAGGAACAAATAGAATTTTTAACTAGAAAAAAAAACCCTAAAATTACAAAGGAACAGACTATCCGATAAAAGTCATGTCGTCTGTAGATCCATATTAGATTAATTTTTACGTATGATAAAATCACTGTCGTATTCATTATTTTATTTATATTGTCTGTAATTAAATCATGTACCTATATCGTAAATCTTTATCACGGTCTTATAGAAGATAAGGTCAAGACACTAGTTATGTCCTCTGTATTAATTATGCGGTTAATATTATTGAGAGTTTACTTTTTTCAAAGATCACCTCAAACGGAACTTTAATGAGGTTATTATCAGACTTGTAAAATTGTCGTAAATGTATTGCTTTTTCAAATTTAATGATCGTGATAACACAGAATAGCAGTAATAGTGAATTTAATGGATAATTTTGGATTGAATTTATTGTAAACGTCAAACTACACTTCAGTCTATAAAAGGTATGTAAAAAGTCGAACAAACTTCGTATGACATATGGGTAACTGTTATAAGTAAGAAGTTTGGAAGGTATGATATAGAGGAGAATTTAATTCACATCTGTACGCAACGATAAACCTAAACCATTGCTTAAGAAAGACGATTGTTAGGGAAGTTCGGTTATACTTATTTATTTTGAAAGGCCGTAATACTTATGATATTCGTCAAAATTTAATACTAAAATTCTTTAATAAAAAAAAAAAACATTGTTCATTTTTTTTTATTTTTGACTACAAAGTACAATTTAAAATAAATCTTCTGTTTAATTTTCAATCGTTCTTATCTAATAAAAATTACGTATAAAACTATCAAAATTAAAATCTCTATAAATAGCTCAACCATGTGCAGAAAAGCAAATATAAGTTTTCTTTCTAGATTTCATGTCTCCACGAATATTTTTAATTGAATTGTATAAAAAAAAAAAAAACAAAATTGAAACATACTAAACCATTATTTTCATAAACTTACCAGTTCTTTTTTGGTTTTGCTTAATTATAATAAAAACCACGTAGAAAATCAAAAAAACAATTTGTTAATCATTAACTAGATTAAAAGTGCAATATAAAATACCAATTTTTGTTTTTCTATTGAAGCAATATTTTTTATAGAAAACATAGTTTGTAAAAATTAAAAACAATGAAATCATTAACATAACGGTAAATATTTGCCATTTTGCCTATAATTTGCTTTCTGGTTTTCTCAAATATTTAAAAAAACCTGTTTTTTTGAGCTTGATAAATTATTCCAAAAAATAATATTTTTTTACTTAGATGCTGTTCAACTATTATATGTTTGTGTTCAGATTGTTGTTCGACCATTACCTTTTTTTATAATCCAACTGCACAATTCGATTGCTTTTAATTTAGGGAAAAAACAGTTCGACTATTCTTTATCAAATAGGTAATATTATGGCAAGTGCGCAGATTTCACGGATGTTATAAATATTATTCTACAAAATAATATTGACTCGGTTTCGTTGGTGATCATGTGCAAAATATTTAATATTTCCTAATTATAATATCTGCTCTAATCGCCGATCAGTATCGTACGGGATACTGTGATCCTCCTATGGGATACATCGTCATCGTTCTTTATGGTAAACGGTAAAATCCATAAAATACTTGGACGACCGGCGGCTGATGAATATTTACATGCCGATTAGGTAATAATATTTATTATGTATACGCAGTGACGTGCAGCCAGTCGGGAATTTTCCAACTTTCTTTGACGGCCACGACGTCCCGCCGTTTCAGCAATTGGGACGTACCCCCAACACACCGTCACTGGCCCCGTTCACATATCACAAAATAATGGTTAGAATATTACATTCAAACTGCAGATTCCATCACAACTACAAAAACGAGCATATGCGCGTAAAAAAGGGTTTGAGATTTGTTAGTGTGTATGTGTGGGAGAGGGGTGGATGAAGCTATATTGTATTTCGGGGTTTTGTTTTGGACGATTTCTACAGTTTCACGGTTTAATAATAACAATAAAACAATAATAAAATAAATATACTGTATCTTTCAAGAATCGTCTCGTAGTATAGGTACTTATGTATAATGAAATTTATCCGTTTCGACCCCGTAGCAGCACCATACCGGAACCGATTAATCAGCGTCTAAAAAATACCATTTGTTTCGGGGGCTAAAAGTTTTCAACGTGTCAGCCGGCGAGTTTTTGAGCAAGGTATTTCAAACCATACAAAATTGCGACCTTTTTTTTTTAATCTATACACAGCATCAGCGAATATAAAGGATTGCGTTTCGAATTTTTACGTCGGATCTCGTATACAAACGAAATTCGAGAATCTTGTAACGGACAGCTGACATCATAATATAAAATAAATATGCGTATACAGTATCATAATATAATACACCATAATCCACCCGTTTTGAAGTGATTTTCTTTTCGGTTTTTTGCAAATTTCTTGAAATAAAAGAAACACTGCGAGCCCGTTAAAATGATTTCTTGCCAAGATTAACAACCTTATAACCTTTTCATACATGCATATAATTTACATAAGTATGTGTTTTTTATTTAATACGAAAAATCAACATGATACTTTGAAAATTGGTTAGGTAATGGCACTAGTTCATCAATGCCCTGACATATCACAAACAAATACAATATTGATACGGATGATAAAATTAAAGTTATTGACGACATACAGATACTGAATGCAATGAATAAGAAAAAAAATCTGGTACAAAAAAAAAAAACAATAACAAATAAATGAAAAAATATTTACCTATTTCCAAAGCACTAACTTGAAAAAAAAAAATCAAAATCCAACTGGGATATATACCAGTCAGTTTGTGTAATGGGTCTATTATTGCCATCTTGCAGCTTTAAAGGCCGCTGTCGTTCACAGCGGGTAAGCGCCTTTTGCTAACAATGGTCTAAAGAAATATTAAATTGCTAACATATCATTATCATTTATCAGGTTGTAAGAGGTTTCGTGTTCTATTTTTTTGTTACATTAACGAATAAAATATTTTATATTATTTAATTTTAGATTCCAAGCGATTTCGATCAGAAGACTCGCTTTTAATAAAAAAATAAATACCAAGTAAATCTAATGTTATTGATTTTTGTCAAGTGAAAGTTAAATCAAGATTTATCAAATTTTTATCATTTAGTGTTTGTATGGTAATTTTTTTTTTTTTTTGATTTCTAGTTTTTACTATTTTTTCGATAACAGAAAAAAAACGAACATAAAGTTATTAGTCATAACTTATTACCGAAAAAAAAAAAATTGAATATTTTCTTATACCAGCTATTATGTTTTTGACGAAAACTATAGCACACAAAAAATAAATAATTTGATTTTTGAATAAATAAGCGTACAGCAGGGTCAATATTTTTAAACTTTTTTATATTTTGCCTCATACCTTAATTTTGGTCTATGTTTTTGGTATTTCATCTCCTCAAAGATATATCGCTGCTCTTGATAAATAAATAAAATTATACAATATATTTGTATATATATCTTTATACCTTACTGCCTTCAAACTATTTATCTAATTATTATTTGGCCTCTATTGGACTAGTAATCTAGTTATATTTAACCATCGTCAAATTTCTCCAATTTGGTCCACCTCCAAGATCTTCGACATCCTATATCACAGTGTCGTTCTTCATTATCTTAGGCTTTCTCAAAGGCATTTCCCCTGATGATTTTCGTTCTAGCACTGCCCGAAATAATGGGTTTTGGCTAATCCTTACATAACTAATTCACCACTGTTTTCCTTCTTCGATAATCTCTGAAATCTTTTTTCTGACGTTATTTGCATGATTAGAATTCCCTGTTTTTTTTCCCTCTACATTTTCTGGTTATTTTACTTACTTTAATGGTTCGAATATTTACTGTAATATTTGACTGTCTCAATACGAAAAAGTTATTTTCGTCTGATTTTCTCGGTGACCAAGTTTCATGAAGAAATCTACTTACAAAAATTATGTTCACATTAAAGCAGCAATATAGTAAGTAGGTATATAACTATTATTTTTGTTAATATTTTTATTAAAAATGAGATCGATAATATGCCTATAAAAGCAGCCAATTTCTAATACAGTAATACCTACTGTCAGTATGTTCGTTTTAGGGCAGAAAATTTGCGATAAGAAAACATTTGAAATTAATTAAATTATAATCGCGTAATTTCACATAGAACGTATAGTATGGTATAATAATTTTAGTAACAGAGAAGTGAATAGAATAATACGATGACAATATGCCGACTAATTAACCTCGTGCGCGCGTTATACAATACTATCATAATATAAACTCATTGTCTATTAAAAAAAAAAAAACCCGTATTTATGAAACTTTTTTTTTAACCTCTGAACACAACAAAAAAGCTATTGTGTTTATATACTGCAGCGAGAAAAACTTTTCGTGTTTGATAATATTTTTTATTTTATTTTTTTTTTTGCATCTCCCATTTCGATGATGCTATTGGTATAAACCCTCAATCTCATTTAAATTATTCGGATTTTGTTTAATTATAATATGGTGTAATAATTGTAAATACAAATTAGCGATATTTCACAAAAAAATAGCTACACTTAATTTTTAAGTCGGTTGACGAGTGGCGACAAGGGAGATTTTAGCCAATTATAATAATTATTAAAATAATAATCTTTTCAAACGTTAAAATGTGTAAAATGTTCTTTAATTTAAGAGCTGCTTTTAAAGTTTTAATATTATAAAGTTTCATGCAACGTTTACAGAACATTCGTTTCCATTAATAATAATTTTAAAAGTTTTTTCTTCTCTATAGAAACAACTGTTATTTATTAATAAAATGTAAAAACTTATTATATATATAATATATAGTCGGTATAAGTTTGAAATTTAAAATTGATCGAAATTCAAAAAATGTATTATTAATTTATAATAGCTACATAATATTTCTTTAGTATTGCAATATTTCGTAAAAAGTATCGAAATAAATCATGTTCCCGTCGAAAAGCGTATTGTACTCAAAATGAGTATTTTGATGATTGATTTTAGTTATTAATTTTAAAATGTCTCGTCAAAAGAGTTATAGGATTTTTAATATTAATTTAAATATTGGATATTCAATATCAATTAGATTTGTATTTATTCCTTTTTTCTTTTTTATTCTGCATTGACAGTAAAAAAATACAATTATTCTTCGTTTTGGATTTATCATTAATTATACGGCGTTTGGCAAATTGAATAACTACTAGATGAGATACTAATTAATAATCTAAATTAAAATACTTTTGATATACCTAAAACATAAAATATTTTTAAAAAAAGAGCTAATAATAGGGATAAGAGCATTCACTGTTGTAGGTGAGAAGTTGGGAAGGTAGGATACATAAAGTTATTTATTATATTTGTAACTAACAATAAACAATTGCTAACAAAAAACGATTCGTTTTTCGAGTTAAGTTATAAATGGTTTTAAAGATCATAATATTTACAATTTCCGTCACCTTTTTATTTTAAAACTTCTATACAAATAAAAAATACTTCAAATCTTGTTTTGAACATCTTGTACATTTTCCAAACATTTTTGTTCAGTCTATCAATTTTATCTATAGAGTACATATCAAATAAATTTACGTACAAAAATCGTAAAATTAAAATGTCTTAAAATGTAACTTGGGTAACTCTATTAGGATGTACATTTTCAAGCGAAATTCTTAATTCTTCTTTAAATGCCGTGCCTTCAAGGGGGGGGGGGGAATTTGGGAATTAAAACACTCTCTCCTCGAAATTGGAAATCAAATTACCTATACGATATTAAAATACTATTAGAACACTAGACATTTTTCTTTTACAACTTCCTCCAAAATTATTTTCTTGTTATTGCCTTGTCTTGACCCATTTCACGTTTTTTTCTGTTTATTAGGAGAACTCCTGGAAAAATAGAAAAATGTCCTCCCTAAAGTACCTTCCCAGTCAGATAGCTGTTTAGAAAAAGTACTATAATTTTAAATCAGAGTGAAATTGCTGGTAGAAAAGTTGTACACAGAAAAAAAAGGCCATGCAATTTTTTTACTAATATCTTCCAATCGTACATTTTCCGTTTTCTCAACATTTTACCCCGGTTTTTTCCAGATATTATGAAAACCGCTTACAAAATCTAAAAACAACTTTTCTAAATTACCATGGAGACAAAATTTCCTCTCAGAAAATAAGCTATATTTGATACATTGGAGCAAGATTTCTGGTAGAAAAGTTTGGACAATAAATCGAGGGGTATTTTGCGATTAAAATAGTTCAAGAGAACGGTGGCTTAGGTTACTAGTTACATTCAAAATACATTTGTTTTTTTTCTTGTTTTCATAAAAGGGAATAGAAATGCAAACATTTTTTTTTCGTCACACTGGTTTGAGGTCTCGAAACCACTAGGATGATAATAGGCATAAATAACCATTAAATCCCGAGAAATATGATTTACGAAGGACAAGTTATTTAACATAATATATATTATCCGCATAATATCAGAACTTCAAAAAGCTATAATTTCGAAATAAGTCCGCTTAATTTTGACTTCACCATCGTTCTTAAATCAGCAATATACATATGTTCGAAAAAAAAAAAAAATTGGAAAATTAGATTTGTTTCACATAAATTTTTCGTCATAATTTGATATTAAAATGCCTGTATAAAAAATTACTACATTAAGCTCAATTTTTTTTTTTACCACACAGTAAGAATCTTAATAAGCCTCCTGTTAAATGTTGAAACATTTTTGTTCAAGTCTAACAATTTTACCACAGAATACCAACCAAATAAATATTACGTACAAAACTCTCAAAATTAAAATGTTCATAAATATCTCAAAAGTGGCTTCAATTTTTTGAAAATTTTACCACGTCTAGAAAAGGCAAAAATAAGGGTTTAGGTTGAATTACAACAAAAAAACAAAATTGTAAAATAATAAAAGCATTTTTTTCGTAAATTTCCCGTTTTTCTTAAGTTTTATCCTGGTTTTTCCCAGATATTATGAAAACCGCTTGGGAAATCAAAAAACGATCTCCCGAAAGTACCATCTGGACAATATTCCCTTTTAGAAATAGTGCTGCCCGTATATATCTGAGCAAGATTTCTGGTAGAATTTTAGTATACAAGATAAAAAAATTTAAAAAAAATAAACATCTTAGTAAAACCAATACATTCTTTGTTACATTCAGAATCTAATGAATGTAACTTAAAGTAATTCATATTTATTTTCATATTAAATTCCTTTAAACCTTGGTAAACTCATTCGGTGTTATGACAAGCGTTCGCGTATTTTGTTTTTTTTGTAAAGAGTTTCGTATGAATAAAAAAACTGAAAACGCCACAATAATAAGCCAGGTAAATAAAAATAGTAATAGTATTTATCACTGTAACATACAGTTACTCTTCCCAGAAAAATAAAAAAAAACCATTTTCATCTTCTCGTATAATATATTTTGTTATACGCAACCATTTATATCATCTTATATTTTCCAATATATTATCTGTATTTTATAGAATTTGAATTTAAAGAAAATAACAATGTATTATGAAATTATATGTCATGTAGTTTCTTATTTTAATTACTTATATAATATCTATTTTGTAGATATTCGTATTTTTAATTCCCTTATTTCAATCGTTTTAAAAACTTTTGGAAGTAGAAAATTACTTAAGCAACAATACCGACAAGCTGAAAAATTGTACGAATTTCAAGACTTGGCTACAGGCTATACTCATTAAACGAACCGGATAATTTATTAAATATAACATATTTATGTAGTCTGTGTACCTAATTACTTAATTTAATTAAAATGTACAGCTAGAAAAATGTATTAGGTATGTTTACTTTGTTGATTAGTAAACAGTAATTAGGCGCATAAATATGAATGTCTACGTAATAATTATTAGTTACTATGAAGATCATAAATAAAACTGCAATGTGTAGAGTAACATTGTATAGCGCTAAGGTGGCATTGCATAAAAAACTGCCTGTAAACTTATTATGGCTTTGTATCATTGTTGCATATTAGAATTTGTATAAATAGTAAATTGTTACTGGGTAAATTAAACCACACATATTTGATAATACTGAATAATAACTGATAAAACTGGGGTATCTTACACATTCGCGGTCTTAGTAGCATGGTCAGAAGTCAATATTTCAACAATATAAATATTATCACTTGACAACAATGAATCCATAATATTAATAGTGATTTACGATTTGTCGATTTACAATAGGTATGTAAACTAAAAAAAAAAACACCACCAGAATTTCGCTAATAATATTGATAACATATATATGTAAATCTATCTGTGAAAGTTACAGTCGGATCTGTAAGCTAAAGATTTTGTAAATACTACAGAGCGTTTTATCAATAAACATTAAAGTTACTAACGCATTACAGAAATGTAAATGCACTAATGATTCTATAAATCACTATACGGAACGATTACGAAAACCAAATCTAAGTGTTATAAAACGGTGGATTTGTTCACGAACTTCTTTTTTTTAAGAGTTTTAATATCAAATTTTGATAAAAATCGTAAATATTATGGCATTTCAAAACGTGTGTAACCGATTTTCGCCCCGTATCGTTTTTCGGTTGTAATAGTTTATCGTCGCCTACAGATATAATTTAATAATCTTATTTATTTTACCTAGCCAAATTTTCACCTACATCATTGGCCCACCCGTTCCAAGTTATAGCTCTTTTTTAAGTTTTTTTTAACGAAGTATCACTGCCAATTGGGCAAAATATCTGCATTTTGTAGTTTTTATTGTAATCAGTGACACAGTTTCTGTTGTCATTTGGTTTTAAATATATTTTCAGACTAGATATTATTTCATAAGGCGCACACTTTGAAAACCGCTGCTATAGGCTACAATATAGGACTAAAAAGCGTCATGGTTCGTTTCAATAACCCGAAATGCAGCTGTCTCGTATTATACTGTAATGGTACGATGTCGTAACAATCCGTAAAGGTTACCCCAAGAGAATAATTTGGAACCGTTTCTGTCGTTTTTGTAAGTATATTGTACGAGTAGAAATAGATTATTATAGACACACAACTCTCAAGTATTATATTATTATACCTATTTATGTGAATTACGAATATAATATAATATTAGTGTAGTGTATAGTGAATTTTATACGTTTAATATAGTTTAGATGTTATTGATCGTACGAGACAATTTCGAATAACGAAGAGATTATAAAAGATTAGATTTAATAAAATGTTGATACGTTTTATATCGGCATTGTACCTAATTGATAAATATTTTCTACGATAAAAATGAATATTACAGTGATAATAATAACAATAATAATAATAATAATAATAATAATGGTATGGTAGAGAATATCTCGAGTTCGTTAAAGGTTATATTATTATTTGAAAATGACAGATTTACATATTTGATATGTATAATCCATAGACCGTATGATTGACCCTTTTTATTTTTGCACTCCGCCGCATTTAGACTCAGCAATTATTTATCAAAAATGTTGCACGATACATTTTTTAAATTATTTGATTTTCCCCCTCCAGTAATTAAAAATACTCCTGTATGTATAATATTAAATTCATTAAATCACGGTAAATTTTGAAAAAGTATGTCTTCAAGTCAACACTTTATATGCTAATCTTAGTATATCACTTGACTTTTTCTTGACGCATAATATACATAATATTTTACTACAACTTGTAACTATGGTAACTTCTATAAATTATTATTTTAAAAACTGTACGGTAAATATAAAACAATGTTAAAATTGATGTTTGGTTGGTTTTTTTTTTTGAATTTATTGAGGGAAAATTATTTTTCGAATCACGTGACCGAATATTTGCCTGTAATATATAAAGTGGATATTATAAAAACTGTCTGCGTCGTAAATTTCACGAATTTTTTTCTTAAGAATTATAGATATTTATTTACGTTAATTCTGACAAACTTTTGAACAAATTGAAAAATAACTTATATATTACCCAGTATATCGAGCATTTTGGTCTTAAATATTCCATCTCTTAAGTTCATATATAATATAAATAGTATATATAGATGAAACTTTTCGGACATCTTTATTGCTCTAAAAAAATATAATACTCAGAGCTTCTTCCTTTGTCCGGTATTCTTTAACATTTATTAACGTTATAAGATTTAAATTTTATACTTATGTGTATAGAAACCTGTATAAATCAAAAAACCTAAATTGTAAATAACTAAAAAGAAATTTTTTAAATTCTTGAAGTATTTATACTTTTGAACCCTATATATTTTAGATGAGAAGTGAAGCTACGGATTTATTGGTTTTGTTATGTGTGTGTATTTATCGTTGCTTACAGGCATAAATTAAAATAATAACTTTATGTGTCCTACTTTCCCAACTTCCACCTACAACAGCACACCCATACACAGTATCTCAGCTCTTTTTTTTAGAATTTATATTTGAATCAATAATGGTATTATTATTTTAATAATAAAGTTATGACTTCTATGTATATTATATTTCCTTGTAAATCAAATCTATAACGTCATTCCGTAACTATAAGGACGGACGGACACAACCGGGATATAAAATATTCTAAGATTATGTTTATTAGAAACTTAAAAACGATGGAGAACGAACCACTCTACGAAACAGTTGGTTCAACTCTGTTCAACGAGTATTTCTCTCGATGTACTCATATAGGTTTTAAATTAAATTTGAAAACACGTATTGCGTTATAGTAATTAAATATCTCATTAAAGGAATAATTCTGCATATACGATAGAATGGCATAAATCAGCCAATATACATAATTAAAGTCATGTATGACTGTTATAGCAGAGCGAGAAAGTTTAATATTAGCGTTTTACAGTGAAGTATGTTTCATATTTTTCGTCTTTTGTTTCCGCGGCAAAACACTTTTATGGCGTTAAAATGCTCAAAAAGTTTCGTCTCCCTAAACTTTTTAGACTTAGATAATTAAACGTGAGAGATTCTTTACATTAAATAACGTAATTTTTCATAAACTGTGTTCATTGCTCCGCAAAATCCGCGACAACCACGAAAAATAGATAAGAAATTCAATTGATTATAAACATAGATTTCATTCCGAGTTTTACACGAATTGCAGCAGAAACAGTGATTTATTAATTTATTTCAGATAATTAAAAAGAAAAATAATCATAATATTTTAGGGTGTACAAAAATTCAACATTTCAACAAATATATTATGTCGACGCAAAAACTGACGATTCATTTAAGAGATTAAAAAAAAAAAAAAGAATAATAAAAAAAATACAGAAATTCGATAACAGTTTTTGTACAACATCGCGTCGCGACGTAGGTATTATAAATTATAATATAATATAATATAATATATATCAGTTATTTATTCTGATCAACGCATTATGTAATAGCCAACGAGATGCACACGATAAAAAAAAAAAAAAAAAAAAATCGATAGATAGCAAACGATCGGTGTGTTGCTTATAAACATTATCTATTATACATCGATACGAATTGCTCCGTCGCCCGTAGACCATCAATCATCTTCGTATAATGTACTCGAATCAGCGAAATAAATTCGGTAGGTACCTTATTTCCCTCGACATCGTCTTAACCGAAAAAAAAAATAGCCGATACCCGGGTCGGGTGTACCAATGTTGTAGGTGGGAAGTTGGGAAGGTAGGACACATAAAGTTATTTAAATTATATCTATAAGCAACCTAAACTAATGCTTACGAAAAGCGATTCGGAACGATGTTCGTTTATACATGTTTCGAAAGGCTGTAATATTTACGATTTACATCAAAATTTCAATTATTAAAACTCGTATAAAAAATTACATTCAATTTTTTTTCACCACAAAGCACAACTTAAAATTAACTTTCTGTTAAATTTTCAATTATTTTTGTTTGGTGAAACAATTAAATCCATAGAATATCAACCAAATAAATATAACGTAAAAATGCGTAAAATTAAAATGAATATATAAGTAGTTCAAAAGTGGCTCAAATGTTATTTAAATTTTTCCACATCTAAAAAAGAAAAATGTGAGATTTCTGTCAAAATTGCATGTTTCTACATAAATGTATAACTTAATTATAACAAAAAAACAAAATTCAAAATAATACAAACATTATTTTACATAATTATTCCATTTTTCCATGTATTTTTTTGTTTTGAACAATTATTAATAAAACTACAGGAAAATTAAAAAAAATAACCTCATCTAAACACCAACTAGATAATAATTTTTTTTAGATAAGGTACCACACTTGATATCGGAGAAAGTTTCCTGTTTAAAAAGTTGTTCATAAACAAACACAAAAAAAATAAACATTTTATAGTATAACCAATTGATCCTTCGATCCACTTTAAATTCAAAAGTAATATTTGTGTGTCCATTACCAGAATAAAAAAAAAAAAAATGAAAATAATTTCCCTACAAAACATAAGAAAGAAGCATGCAAAGTTACATAATTTTTCAAAATAGCAATTTGAATACTGAAAGTTCGGTACGTTACCATCATGTTAAAGTTTTGATATCAAAATAAATTGGTATTATATTATAAATTATGTAACAATATGTAACCGTAAACAAATTTGATAGCCACCAAAAAACGACAGAAAATCGAATTTTGTATTATTTGTGATAGGGTTACCACTTATAAAAAATGGAAATTGTAACAATGTGTAATCGTGTTAAACTCTCAGCACTGAAATTCAATATTCTTGACTTCTGTGTGTTCACTTGACGCTGTCTAAAAGAGAAGGTCAAGAGAAAAGACGGCCAGGGCAGCCACAAATTGGACAATAATTATTAGCCAAGTCTTCTTTGTTGTATGCCAAAGGCAAACATTTGAGAGGGAGAGCCTCTTAAGAATATATCTCTCCCATTTAAATGTATTTCTGAGCTTTTGTTGTGAATACGAATAAATAATGGTGACTGAAGGGAAAAATGACTGAAGTCAGTGCCAACCCCAGTTATCAGTTCAAAAGTAAAAAAATAAGATGTTCTAGGATAATGGAGACGGGTGCAGCCATTGTTACCTATAGGCAATTTAATGTATATCTGTAAGTAATGATAAACCATTGCTAACATAAAAACAATTCTGAGCTTAGTTCAGTTGATAGTGATGATTTGTCAACAATATATATATATATGTCATATTATAGTAAAATAATTAAATAGGCATTATATATTCTCTTTAATATTTGTTTAATATTGTATCAATTTTTCCGTTTTTCTTGCGTTTTTCCCGGTGTTCCCATGTTTTTTCATGGATTATCAGATTTTCTAAGAAAACTTTTGGAAAAATCGAAGAATAACCTCCGTAAAGTACCTTCCAAGTCAGATTTACTTTCAGAAAATGTATTATTATTGTAAATCGAAGCAATATTGCTGGTAGAAAATGTTTACACAGAAAAAAAAGGTCATAATATTTTTTTACTAATACCTATATTTCGTACATTTTCTGTTTTTCCGACATTTTATCCAGGTTTTTCATAGTTATTATGAAAATTGATTAGAAAATCACAAAAATGATCTAAATGTTTAGAAACAGTAAATATAAAATGTCTGTTCGAATTTTAAGTTTTTACGAATATTTTTAACTGAATCGCAACAAATAACAAAATTGATAAAATTATAAAAGCATTAATTTTGTAAATTTCTCGGTTTTCTTATATTTTACCTTAGTTATTCCCAGATATTATAAAAATCGCTTAGAAAATCAAAAAATGACCTCCCATATGTACCATCTGGACAATATTTTCATTCAGAAATTGATCTGCGCGTATATATCGGAGCATGATTTCTAGTCGAATTTTCGTACACAATATAAAAAAAAATAAACATCTTAGTAAAACCAATATATTCTTCGCTCCACTCAGTATCTAAAATAGTCGGAAAAATGACGGAGTTGTAAACCAAAAAATTGATGAGAAAATTATTGTGTATATTTACTAAATATCCTGGCATCACAGATTGTGTTTAATAATAGGTAATTCACAAATTGTAAATTAATACATTTTCAATTAAATAATACGAAAATACCGAAATAATACATGATGTAAAATAACAGCACAAAAATCGTTACAATTTATAAACAGCATAATAGTAGAGACCGACTGACTGACTGAATGACGTACAACACAAAACCCGAACCCAGAAGTCAAGAATATTGAAATTCAACAATGAGATTTTATCACGATTACACATTGTTAAAATTTTCATTATTTATAAGTGGTCGTGCCAGGGTACGTTATTCTGCTACCAATAGTAAAAAACCTATTTTCTAGTGTTCTAAGGAGGTTTCAAAATTTATTTTTGTCACTACAAATCGTTACATAATACCTACAGTCGGTTTTGAGGTCGAAATGTTTATTGTTCGTATGTGGTGGTGCTAGGGCAAAGATACCCTGGTACCACTAGTAAAAACATATTTTTGCGGAATCTAGGGCGGTTACACAATTTTTTTCGCGGTTTCATATAATTATATATTAAATTACATAATACTAGTCGATCTTGATGTAATAATTTTTACATGGTGGTGCTAAGGTAAAATTACCCTAGAAGTTGAATGTTAATTTTAAATCAGCTTATTGGTATAAATATTGGTGTTCATCCATATTTTTTCCTATCTTCTCCATTACTGACCAGTTTCTTAAAGTACATATGTCTAATTAGTTCGGCATCAGAAATGAGTTTTTGATGACCATTGTTCGTGAGTGTCCTCAGTCTCGCTTACCTTCGATTATTCCTTCAATTATTTTATGGTGTAGCTCATCGTCGTGTCTCATAGTGCGTCTAATTAATCTCCATCACTTTTCTTTGATTGATCTTAATATTTTTTGTGATTCACCTGTTCAATTAAGTACGCTATTGTCGGTTCTTAATTCAATCCAGCTAATTTAATTCGTATACATAATAAAGTTAGTGATGGGCAACTTCAATTAAACAAATATTCATTTCATTTCGTTTTTTTTATTTTTTGTAAATTGAAAAATGAAAATAAATAAAAATAATACATAAATGCCATCAAAATACCATCAGTTTTGCACTTACTGACTGAAAAATTATTACAACAATATTTTAAACATACATTTCAATCGTTTTCTCTTGTCTATACCGAATGGCGGGCGTCTAGAACTTTCTTTTTTTGCTAAATTAAGCTGCTTGTCTTTATTTTACATGTAAAATCATGTCATATATTTTATGTCTGCAAATAGACAATTCTCATTTATCGTATCCAAGTTTTAATGTGACGTAATAGCGCGTTGAATGTGTTTTTTACATTATATTGTCGGGCCCTCGCAAAAATATAAACTGAGGGGGGGGGGAATCAAAAGTATAAGACTTTTTTACAACTTACAAATATTCATTTTTTAAACATCTAAGCCATTCAAGTAATAAATCAATTAATATTTCATATTAACTAAAATGGCGGAAATGCCATGGCCTCCATCAGCACCCCCCCCTACGGGAGCTCTTAGTCGGTAATCGTATAAAAAATTATATAATATATTATACGTATTATCTTCTCAGTCGAATGGAACTTATAAAGTTTAAAATAAAATATATGTATAAATGCAATGTTTTAATTTTCGTTGAAGATGTCTCGAAGTCATTATTATTAATATGCATGCTTGACCTTTTCACATAAACTTAATAAAGTTATTATATTTGCATGTATAAATTATATAAATTTGTTGTTTTTACTTGTAATTTAATACTTGATTGAAATTGTACAAGATACATTTTTATTAGTATCGAAGTATCATTACGTTGTGAAAAACGATAATCTATTTTATGTCTACAGAATTTAATTCAATTGTTTTCTAGATAAAAAGTTATTATAATTTTTATAAGTAACATTCTTACATTTACGGAGGTAAAAACAAAAAATTATTACAAAATATATATTTTTTCGTTATCATTTGTCAATCTACGTTATACCTACTACGTGAAACGTCCAATTTATTTTTCTGAGAAAGCATATCGTTGGATATTTTGTCAGTTTTTAATACAGATTGATGACGGGTAATACTGCAGTTGAAGATTTTAAATCAGAAAAGTTTTTTTTTTTTTAATATCCATAATTTATGCAATCTGAGGTAAATACTGTTGACCGATTTTTTTTTTTCACATAATAGCTTCAATGGGGTTTAAAATTTTGATTGCGGGTATTTACCCGCACGCATACGTATAGTAACATCATTATTTTCTCAATTAAGTTCGCAGTAATCTTTTCGAATTAAAATATTGAAATAAGCGAACACTTGTTTTCTATTGTGATTTTATTACGTACCTAACTATACAGAGTGTCATCACGAAGATATAACCATTACAATATCTTCTGAGATAACAAAGATAATCAATCTTTTTTTTATATTACTTTTTTTAAGTTATTTTTTATATTACTTGCAGGGATAAGGAATACAAATATTTAAATTCAAATTACTTTTTTGTGTTTTTATAAAAATAATAAAAAATAACTTTTTATTTTATTTTTTTTGAAAAATTTGAAGATAGCCATTTTATAGAATTTATACTTCTGAACATTTAAACGTATCAACTTTGTATGTTTATTAAATTCATGATTGAAGTTCAGAGAAGTACCTGTAATTATGTAGCAGGCTATGATTGCATTCACTAATTAGTTGTTATTATCATAGCTAATTGACTATACACTTTTCTCTCGGAACTTTAAATAATGATTAAAAATCACTAATTTAATGAAAATACAAAATTGATACGTTCAAATTTTCAGAAAAATAATCTCTATGAAATGGCTATAATCAAATTTTTCAAAAATAATAAAATAATAAGTTATTTTTTATACTTAATTTGTTTACTAATACACATAAAACTAATTGAAATATCAATATTTCTAGTCCTTATCCTTATGAATAATATAAAAATCAGAGTTTGATATTTTATATTATCTCCGAAGATATTTTAATGGGTTACCATTGTTATCATTGTTTAATGGGTTAATATGTTCGTGGGATACCATGTATTTATAATATGGTATTGTAATGTTATCGTAATTGCATTAAATAGTTTAAAAAAAATTAAACTAAAAAGGACGCAATACACGTACAATAAACTATTACTGATAGAAAATGATTAAAAAAGCAGAGTATTATTAGTCACTGTATTTAAATGTTTATGCATTCAAATTGATATAGCATTAATTCATCTCATCACTTTATATGGCTCGGAAACATGGCCATTAAAAAATACAAAAAAAATAAGATTAGATATTTCTGAAAGAATAGTACTGAAACTTAATCTATTGCTCTTTTTTTGACCTTAGAACCGGTTAATAGAAAATACGGAACAACGAAGAGCTTCAATGCATGTTTCAAAGACTATGTATATAAAGGGAAGCCACAAAAAGAAGGGTACGTGGGCCGGATACCTAGAGGAAAAATGGTGCATTGATAAAAGCAGTAATTAAGGAAGATCCGTTAAGAAAAAGACCGTTGGGTAAAAAAGACTCGCTTTATATGAAGAGATTGTGTGAATAGAAACATGACAGCAGTAGACATAAAAACCAACTGGAGGGAGGTTAGCTAAGGACAGAGAGAGATAGAGAATTTGTTGTGCGGGATAGTCTTAAAGCCAAACACCCCCCGAAAAAAGAAAAGTTTTAAGTATAGAAATAACAAAATAATAATAATGGTCTTTTTTGAGTATTACAATAATATTATTATGTTAACAGTTTTTAATTTTTTTTTTTATTTATCAAAACTTTCACTCGTTCAGAATTCATGAGTTACAAAAAAAAAAAAAAAAAAAATAAAATATGTGAAACCTTATAGCTTAGAAGATGTGGGTAAAAAGAAAAAGAAAACTACTTTTAAATCGCACACAAAGTATAGATGATATTATATTGTGAAAATAAATAGTAAATACCCGAGGGAAATAACTATATTCACTAATATTGTTGAGTATTATTATTATTTTTTTTTTTCTGAAGAAAGAGATCGAAGAAAACTTGCAACACGAAATACGTCATAAATAAATATTATTGTTTTCTATGCATTATCGTAAATCGCTATAAATCATAAACGTACCTTTTATATTATCCAAATGTATTCCGACAGGAAAAAAATTATAGTTACTGCGAACACAGGCCTACTCGGTGATTCGCTGTTGTGTGCTGTTTTTTTATTTATTTTTTCCATGAACGTACTTAAAATCCTTGTGAGACGTAAAACACAGTCAAGGGCTTACAAACTTAAAGCAATAATGGCATACGAGTATAACACGTAGCGAGTTCAACGAGCGAGTATTAGTCGGTTACATATTATGTGTCTCTGATGGTATTAATTTTTTCTTTCGCTTTTCAAGAAAAATCTTCGGCATGTTTCATCGTATATTTCTCGGCAGTCGACAGCCAACCATATAAGTACCCAATGTATTAAAATGGTACGCGTTTAATAAAATCGAAAGTTTTGTAGGTACATTCCAACTAAAGGGGGGGGGGAGGGAGAATGTCTAGTTTTATAGGTGCATTTAAATTCAACTGCGATCATATTATCAGTTTTATAATACACAGTGTTTGAACTCGAAATTATTATTGTTTCAATCGCAATCATTAAAAACATTTCGTCCCGAGGAAAGGCGTTGTACGAGTTTCGATTACATGCTCGCCTGGTTTTTGGTTTTGCGCTTTCTCTAGTACTGTTGTCTGCTGGATGAACAAGTTCCGAAGTTGTTATTTTTTTTGTCTTTTTTTTTTGCGTTCTCTATTACTACTATACCTACATACAATTGTTTTATGTGTACTAGAGCATCACATGCAATGTTTAATATCGCGATGATCAATATGAATACTTAACGGATTATAATAAGTAATTATTTATCACCAATAATGCTGCTGCAATTATGGTTTAATGTTTATAAATCATCTGAAATGCATACACCTTGGCTTATATTATAATATATTAACCACCATTAAATATCTACGAATGATAATATATAGGTAGGTAGTCGGTAGTTATTACGAAATAGATACGCGTGAGTTTCTCAAGCTCCCTTAGTTTTTTTAAATTAATATATTCCTCTGGCAAAATAAAATAATAAACTGGATGTATTTCCCATGATGAGTGAGCCACTGTTGTAGGTGTGAAGTTGAGAAGGTAGAGGGAAAATTGAATGTATATTTATATACAACGATTAATTATCGCTAACCAAAAACGATTCTGAGCGGAGTAAGTTGAAAGATCGAAATATTTACGATTTTGAATTAATATTTTCTATAAATTTTACCGTTTTCCCTATGTTTTTTCCCAATTTTCCCCATTTATTATGAAAAGCCCTGAGGAAATCAAAATAATAACCTTCTTAAAGTAGATACCACTTTGTACAGGTTTCATTTTAGAAAATGTGCTACACTTGGCAAATCGGAGTGAAATTTCTAGTAGAAAAGTTGCTTGCATAAACAATAAACATCATTGTAAATCCAATACATTCCTTGCTCCGCTCAGAATTTAAAAATATTTAAAAACAATGTAAATATTTTTTAGATTCTACATTTGTTTTACTATGATTTTTTTTTTTTTATTGTCTGTAAATCATCGATATTTCTACTAGAAATCGTGCTCTAATTAAAAACTGTACAGGAATTATTTAGTAGAATTTTCGATGTTGTTGATGCATTGGGAATGTTATTATTATATTTTCCTTGGGTTTTCTTAATAAATAGGAAAAGGTTAGGAAAGCTAAAGTTAATTTTCCTCTCAAAACAGTGACACACTCATCAGTAGTATTAACTTTTTTTTTTATATTAAACATCGCTTGTTCGTAAAACTTTATTTATCAACCAAACTTTGAATTCTTTATAATGTTTTTTAAAAATAAATTTAAAATCGTCCGAAATAATTAAAGTAATTAATTTACTTATTTAGTAATTAATTTAAACCATGTTATCCAACCTTCACTCCTCAAAGTTGTTGTTTGTTAACAACTATTTATCTTCGCATACAAATGTAGATTATTTAATGTATTTGTACACGAATAAATTCGAAAATGATAATACTTATAAAATCTAAAAGGGTCAAATAAATGTTATTAATTGTAATTAACCAAAAATTCAAAACTAAATTACATATTACACTGTACAAGAAAATGTATATAATAAGATTGATAAATTCAAATTTTGTTTGAAACCGGGGTGTAGAGGGAATCCAATTTGCAGATCCCTCAATTTCATTATAAAATATTACCTAGTAAGAGTTCATTAAAAAATTTTTGGGTTAAGACATTATAATAGAACACGAAACGTGCAGTATATTTTATAATCCATACTCTTGAATTTTTCGTAGTTTTTCAATAATTATAATTAATTCTCCAAAGAATAAAGAAGAATCAATAAAGAAAAAATTTAACTAAAATAGAACTCCGAGAAACAACAGAAAATTGCCATTTCTTACAGCGGGTTTCCGATTTTGTTAAATATACCTATACGTTTAAATTCGATTAAAGGGTCCTGCTTGTGGCTTTTACAAACTATTAATAATTATTAACTATAAATAATAATCAATTTTTAGCATTTATAATTAAAAAGTTTTGACAATTCTTTAAAAAAAAAATTAATCGGTTTTCAGTTTTGTATAAAAGTGCGTACTAACGACTGTTTTTTTTTTTTTTTTATTCAAATGTGATTTATAGGGTTCATTTTCCTGCCTCGTAGAGACTTCCGATTGTCATGTATTTTTTTTTTTTGGAAAGAGGACAACTTCCTTTAGGGTGCATTGGATTTTGATCTTGTATTCTATAACCAAAACCCACGACAATTTACTTTAATTTCGTAATTATTTAAGTTTCAATTTTGGTTTTATACCGGTATTAATCGGTACAAAATTTAATTATATTATGTAATTTATGATTAGTAATTTTATAAAAAATTTATTATTAAGGATTGTTATTAACTTCAGACGACCGATACTAGTTATCTACGAAACGCAAGAAAAGGAGAAATAATTTTAAACCTCCAGGGATTTCGTTCATCCGCGGTACCGTAAACTTTAAATAGGTATGTGGGTGTAAAGGTACTTACTTAACTATTAACTAACTTCCTATACATATGCCTGTCGCGGTTGTATATATATATTTAATTTCTATAAACATTTTCAAAGAGTATTATTAAGATAATACGAAACTGATTCGTATTATAATATAGCGGAGCGTTAAAATTTTAAGAAAAAATAGCTGATACCGCTGATGACTGTGTCATTATTATAGGTGTGAAGTTGGCAAGGTAAAATACAGAAAGTTATTTAATTTGTGTCTGTTCACTGGAATGCTTTGAATATTTTAACATGTCAAAAAAAGACTAATATAAGATCTTTATGAATTTACGATTATTTTTGATCAAATTACGATAAGAATATAACATCGGAAATAACTAAACTGTGCATTTTCCCATTTTTCTTAATTATTGTGAAAACTGTAAGAAAAATCATAAGAATGGCCTACTCAACGCATCAAATAGATTTAAAATGCAACAAAAAAGGTTTCTTTTCGTAGAAAATTTGTTTATAGACACAAAAATTACAAAAACACATATCGCAGTAAAACCAATACATTTCCCCCAACACTGAGAATTTAAAATTGATAGAAAAACGTAGGTGATATTGACCTTTCTAGTTTCGTACAGATTATATAATGGATGTGAGCGGTGTTATTATTATTATTATTTTTTAATTAACTAGTTATAATGATACATATAACGGCTGCACATTTTTCGAATTAATCAAAAATTATATTATAATATTTATAGAAACCCGCTGTTCCCCGCTGCGTGAGATTTTACCTACTGCAGTACATCGCGAGTTTAAATCCAAATGAATTTAAAAAAAAACCGCAAAATAATGAAAATCTTGCCGTTCAAAAAAAAAAAAAAAAATACAATTTAAATATACGAGGTTTTTTAAGTTTGCTTATTTATTTTTCTCGTCGTTTTCGTTCAGTAGGCCGTGTTTTGTTCGTGACTGGAAAATCAATAGTTATTTGATATAAGATAAATAATTATTATAATAACTCGTATATATCTATGAGTATAATATTAATCGTATTTAATGTTTTCTAAATACTTCGGAACAAAACCAAAACGTCGAAAAAATGAAACCGTTTTCCTGAACAATATATTATAATATTATATTCAAAAACAGTGGCGTATTTGAAGGGAGAGGCCATGGGAGTAAATGGCGATCGTCCTTCTCATCAATTAATGTGTGTAGGTATTTGCTATATACATTTGCTGTTTACGTATACAGAAATTTAATATTGCTAGAAAAGTGTTATCAAACACAAAAATAAAAATAAAAATACTTTTTAGTAACATAATAAGTAACAAATAAAGTATAATGTAAGATTATTGTGTATTTACCTTGTGTATAATAGTTTTAATGTCACTCCCCTTTCCATATGCACCATTCCAAAATCGACATATTATGGAATGATTGTTTTTCCCGTTTTATTATCGTGTTTCGAATAGAACTGTGGACTATTTTTTGGTTTTTTTTTTTAAATTTATTTTAAAGAAAAAAACCTTTAAAAACGCCATATCGGTGATAAAACATTTCATAAAAAAATATAGCTTAAAAGTTTAACTTACAAGTGATTTTTTACCGTTTAAATATTAAAAACTGAATTAATATTACGTGCATCTTTGCATATTATTAAAATAACAATAAAAAAACTGATGTAAAAAACAAATGATATGTAAACACTATTAAATAACACTATGCAAATATTGACGATATGTATATTTTTATATTTTTTTATTAAAAAAGCTTTTTATATACAACAGATAAACATTATGAGTTATCAACGTTCAACATACACGTACAAAGTAAATTATCTTATACGCAGCAACGTTTAATTTTTTAGATTCCGAGCGTAGCGAGGGAGCTATTGGTTTTATAATGCTGTTTATTTCATCTTTTTTTTTTCGTTGTTCTAGTCTGTAGACGCGTTTTTTGCTTGTAAACTTTCAAATAAAAGCACTTAAGTGGGAAAAAACGTAGGGAAACGTAGAATTTCACGATTTCATTATTTTTAAAAAACACAGACGTTTTTTATTAGAAAAAATTAATTAATTGAAAAATATATAAATGAAATATATATTAGAAATTCAGCTAAACAATTTTAATTAATTTCAAGCCATTATAAGGTTCGTCATAACGTCATATAAACGTTTTAATAATTGCAGTGTTTACCATGCGTATTTCATTAATTGAAAGCTATAAATTACACAAAATGTTGGAAATTATTTTTATCCCCAACGCGTATGTGAATGCTCTAAATTTGCCAATTAGTATTAGTTGTATTTTCCCGTGCAGTAACCTACGAATTCGCAAAAATTGAACCTATGGGTGAATAAAAGAAAAATATTTCGGTAGATGTTCCAAATAAACAAGTACCACTGGGTAGAAATTCCGCGTCTTTTGAGGTATTGCGTGAATAAATTGGAGTTTTACTTAACCGACAAACGTTTAATTAAGGCATTTTTATTGCTGGTAACAGTTTTATTACTTATTAAAAACACATAACGGCGATTGCCTCCTAGGAAGCCGCCGTCGATACGTACGTACGAAAGGGCAACTATATAATATACAGTATACAATTATAAATAGTTTTAATATGTTCGCATTTTGCGTCTATCGCAGGGACAGTCTCTTACGTATGGACACCGCATGGTATCGTTGAAAGACCGAGATCGGGCAGTGGGCACGATACATTCTATATAGTCCATTCTATACGAAAATTAAAAATTACATTTTATTCGTTTTCCATTATTATGAATAAGTGTTTATAATTTAAAAAAAAAAACAAACAAACAATATTTTATAATTTATAATAATATTAAATAATATTTTTATTTTTTTTTTGCAAGGCAGGCATTGCCTCCCGAGAAAACCGCCGCTGTCACTAATTGTGGTTACATACAAAGACGAAATAATAACTATAATAATCAATTCTAATCTATAGGAAGAACATAAATGATTTTGACTTTTTTCGGATAATAATAATAATAATAAAAACAAAGGACATGGTTGGTTTTAAACACAATTTGCCCTTCCATATTTGATACTACGTGAACCGCTAAGTAAAAAAAAGCGGACAAATTTTGCAATTTTTCAAGAAAGATAAAAACAACTATTTAAGCATCTAGAGTTTCATTATATTTCATAACATTAATGGACAAACTTATAAATGATATCTAACACTATATAACATAAGTTATGACTATGAAATTTGTTTTTTTATTTTTTTTCAGAGATATTAAGTATTTTTGTCATTCTTGAAAAATGTTTAAACTGCGATTTCTACATTTAACGATTTATGTATGGTTTAAAAATGATAACTAATAATAAAGTTTGCTCGAAATCTAGTGTAGAAATAATAAATTTTAGATCATAAATGCATTCTTAAACACATTTTTTCTTGAAAAATTAATCGGAGATTAACTCTGACATTAACGACAGAATACCCAAAGATTTTTTAAATAATCAACATAGGTCCATTGTTCGTTCATGACCATAGTCACATAGATCTGATGAGTTTAGGATGTAACCCTACATTTTCAGGTTGTCTTTAAATTGCCACATTTTTGTCCGTAGTCGATTTAAGTTTCTTCAGTCCATATATTTTTGTGCTCAAGTACAAGGTAGAAGAAATATGCTTCTTAAAATTACTCCACAACATTTAATGTTGTCAAAAATCTAAGTATCTTAATAAAAATATCGTCGTTCACTGCACTTCAAAAATTACAAAAAACAGAATTTGAACTCATGCATAATTTTAATATAAAAATGGATTGAGCGTGCTTAAACAGTCACCCTGTATATTATATTATATTTGTATAGTTATAAAAAAAAGATTGTTTGAATAATAACAGTTTTTAAAAATTACCCCTCCCCCTTCATCCCCCATGACAAAATCATTGACCGCCACTGTTCTATGACAAGTCAGATGGTATATTTAAAATATATTTTTTAATTACACTACACTACATAATATTTAAAAATTATCGGACCCGTCAAAATTTTTAAATACAATATTTATTTATCGTTATTATTTTTAATTGTGTATATAAAACGTGAATATGAAAATAAACACATAAATATTTTTGCTCAAACATTATATAGTGTATACGTAGATAACCAATTTCCTCTGTAACGGGTGATTTTTTTTACCCGTCAGTCAAATGACTTCCTGTAAAATGCGTTATTTCCGCTAATAAACGATTGCATTCAAAATTTTGCACAAAAAAAAAAAAAATAAAAAAAAATACCATACAATATTATTTTTTGTATTATGTTAACGTAGACAATATTGTAGCAGTAAGTACCTACATCATAATATTTCGTGAATATGAACCGATATTATAATTATTCCCACTTTCTATGTATTGAATGAGAAACAAAAAGTGAACAAAAAGTTTTTATTCGGCAGTTCTATAAGGGAAAGGAACAGGAAAATTTTTGGTCACCTGCTAAATTACAATTCAATTTCGGCCGACATAATATTTAATGACACATTTTAATGGTGGCAGATTATATGGGTTATATTGATTTTTTTCAACTGTGGTAATATTGATATGAAAAAAATCATAAAAAAATGAAACAAAAATATCATGATTTAAAATATTATTTTTAACTTTTATGTTTATACATACTATTATTATTTGTAAATGGAGTATTTACGGTTTATAAAAAAAAATATATATATCATTATTATTATTATATGAAGGACGAGTTAACAGAGATAAAAGAAGAGCCCAAAGAGCCAAGGAGGCATTTAACGAAATCACGAGACAAGCTGATTGCTTGATTTAATACGAAGAGAATTGAATTTATTTATAAGATTTTTTCCGAAAAGATTGGAGGTCCAGACTTTTAACGACAAAGCAGACGACTTTTAGTGAAGAAAAGAGACAAAATTATAATGTAATATACGAGTGCAAGTGAAAATCACTTCTCCGTGTTTACATTTCTTCATCTTCCTGAGTATATAGATGTTTATTTGTATTATTCATATAGTATATGTGTATACTTTTATTTCGATAAAATAACACGCATTGTATTTTGTTCGCATTTCATTTTTCGACAAATATTATGTAATACAATTGTCATCCCAACGTAATTGTTGTAAACGAATTTGACGAAAAATTAAATTGCTGTTTCGATAATGCGAATCAAAAATACACTTATTATATTGTAATAATATGAAAAAATCGAAATGATTATTGTCTACAGTGTCTGCCTAGTGTCTACTAACTTACGTCCGAAATGAACATTCCAAATAATTATTTTAACCGGTAAAATGAGTATGTACAACACGAAACGAACAAATGTTTTTATTCTGGAATGGAAACGGCAGTGAAGTAGTGAATAAATAAATAATTATACTCGTGACAAAAGTCGTTTTAACAGAAAGACAAACTTAACCTTTAACAATATTACAAATGGTAATGATTTTGTAGTCAAACAGTTTGCATTAATCAATTTCGTTATTATATTATAGTTATTATCGCGAGCAAAAAACATTCCTAAAATTATAATAAATATTTAAAATGTTTGAGCAGTAAAACGATATTTCGTTTTGTACAATAAATTTACATCAGCTGAAGTGTTCATTTAAACATTATTACATTAACACTTTCAAAGCTCAGTAGATATTTCGTTTCGAAACAATAAACAGTGAAATTTATTCGAGTTTATTTGCATGCGCCGCCGTTTTAACCGTCCAATTAGTTATTTTAATTTGAATGAATTTGTAGTGTTTTTTTATAAACTATTTTTTTTAAATCCTAAGCGGAACGAGAATGTATTGGTTTTACTATGAGATGTGTTTTATTTTTTATTTTTTTGTGCCTGTGAATAATTTTTTTTACCAAAAATCTTGTTCCGATATATTGTATATTATCTTTTTTGAATGGACATTTTAGTTGGATCATTAAGGAGGACAATTTTTGATTTTCCAAGAGGTGTTCATAATTGTTGGAAAAAACGGGAAAAAAATTATCGGAAAAACGGTAAATATTTATGTTGCGCCGCGACGTTACTGACTTTATTGTTTTTAGTTTTGCAAAATACGTTTGTCACCAAAAATATTCCGCTAATAGAAAAACGAAAAAAGACTTTTTTGTTGCATTTTTAATTTTCTTGGTCAATAAGGAAGTTATTTTTTGATTTTTCTCGTAGTTTTTTTAACGGTTGAGTAAAATCGAAAAAACTTAGATAGAACGAGGAAATTTACGAAAATAGCGCTTTTATTGTTATCAATTTTATTCTTTTGTTGTAATTTAGTTAAAACGCATTCGTAGAAACTTGTATTTAATTTTTCTGGACGTGATACAAATTTCAGAATATTTGAACTATTATAGACATTTTAGTTTTGCAAGTTATTTGTGTAATTTTTATTTGGTAGGTACGCTGTGGATACAATTTTTGGATTGAATAGAAATACTAAAAGTTTAACAGGAGGTTCATTAATAGTTGTACTTACAGTGGTAAAAATAACATAAACTTTATTTGAGTAATTTATTTTATAATCGTTTTAAGATTCAATTTTGACAAAAATCGTAAATATTTCAGCATTTCAAAACATGTATAACTGAAAATTGTTCATAATCGTTTTTCATTAGCAATGGTTTATCGTTTTTTACAGATATAAATTTAATAACTTTATGTATCCGAACTTCTCACCTACAATAGTGGCACACCAGTTCCTGAAATAAGTTCTTTTTTTTTTACATTTATCATTGAAAAAATAAAATACAGTTATTTGAATGCTGTATGGGCTATAACGATCATATAGATTTTTATTCTTCGAACATTATCGATTCAATTTTTTTTTAAGTGAGCTGATACTGCTGATAGATGTACCACTGTTAAAGGTGGGAAGTTGAGGAGGTTTATCTGTACATAATGATAAATTATTGTATTTTGTTCATTAAAAAAAAAATAATACTTTTTCCTGAATCTTTTTTTAGATTTAGAGTACTTGATGCTTCAGTATAAGAAGTGTAAACATTTTTTGATCAGTTATAAATGCTCTAAAAACAACATTTTTACTGGAATATTTGATTCAATAAAAAAAAAAAAAATTAGAAAAGACCTGTTTTGTTGTATTTTGGATCTAGTAGGTGCATTAAAGAAGTCATTTTCGTTTTTCCAAGCGGTTTTCATAATAATTGGGAATATTATAATAATGTAATTAAAAAAACGGGCAATTTCACGGTAATAATTTCATTATTTTATTTCGAATTTTGTTTCTAATAGAAATCTTGCTCTGAATTTTAAGAATAGGTAACATCTTTTATGAAAGAAAATTTTCTATTTTTGGCAAATAAGAAAATATTCAAATTTTGCGATAACTAGCCAAGCAATTTATCTTTCATAGGTTCGATTACATTTTCTTTAATAGTCCTTTTAGTCTACACTTTTTTCGTGAGTTCAAATATTCAATGTGTTTTAATTATAAAACTACAATTCCATAATATTAAAAAGAAATTATTATCAGCTAGTTCTCAGAAAAAAATATTTTTTAAAGTTAGGAAGGCAAAATAGAGTTGTTTGATTTATAATTGCGCGTAACGATAATTCTTTTTTTCATTAGTTTAGGTAAATAATGAAATAAAAACGCCGCTAAAAATTCAAATAAAATGTTACGCGTTAACACTAAAATTAAAGAAAGATTCAGTTCATTATAATAAAGAATCGTTATCGACAGAGATTTCATCGAATTGCATTTTTACAACACAGAAAAATAACATTAAAAATAATTTTAAAAAAATGTATTTTTTCCTCACATTTCTGTCGTTTTTATTTTGAGGGATTGCAAATTATTTTTTCTTTTCATAAAAAATAACCATTGCAAACCTGACAATATAATGTACTATATGGTTTTTGTATGTTTTCTTTTACGATTTATGATTTATTAATATTATTTTTTTGTTAACCTCGTAGACGTTCTGTCATATTTTCAGCATTTATTACTTGTTGTGCTATCGTTCGTTCAAATAATCTGTTTCATCATGTCGAAATGGGTTTCCAAAATATCAATATTCCGTATAACGAATCATTTTATTCCGAGAGACCTTTACTATTATTTTTTTGTAACAAAATTAATTTTTTGTTGGAAATGACGTTTTTCTATAAAAAAAAAAAATTACCGTAGGTACTAGATAATTAACTCTTTCAAACTTTTAAAAAGCTCATCGAAAAAAAAAATTATAATCCTTTTGTTGTAACGGTTGACTGCTAATATCATATAACATCACAGAGTTTATGTGGGAAAGTCAAAAAAAATCTTTTCTAAACGCACACAAAGATTTTCATCCCATTGTTAAAAAAAAAAAAAGAGTTATAATAATTTAGTGCCAACAGGGTTGAAGTGCAGTTTATTTTATAACAATAAAAATACAACTTGAATATTTAGTTGTACGTACATTTTTTTAACCCCTTTTATATTAACTTCGTTTCGGTAGTAATTTTTCTTAAAGTCTGTCGTTCAATTATTTTATTGTTTTCTGAAGTGGCTACGGCAACGATTTGTAAGAAAATTAATAATTTTTACGACACAGTCTACATGAAACATTCGAGATCGCAGTAGTTATGATTATGGTACTCTCGTAGGAGGCGATGTATAAAAAATATGAAATAATAATATTAGTAGTATTTAATAATATATAGTTTACAGAACTATCGTTAATTATTTGAAATACGTTTAGAAAACTGGAACTTAGTACTTTTATAGAGTGGGCTTTCCTGATTTGTTTTTCTTTTTAGTTCTGAAAATCAATAATTTATTTACTCAATACTCGATACCAAAGCCGATGTAATTTTAGTTTTAGTTTTTTGATACAACTATTAGAAAATAAGTTATAAGATGTTTTCAAAATAATAACTTGTGGTGTATTTGTCGAATGTGCTATCGAAAAAATAAAACCAACGGGGCACGTTGGTTTTGCATGTTGTCAGGTGAAAATTTGATTTCTTAATTAACCTTATGGTTGGACTTATTTTTTTTTCCCGCGCAAAACAATCTTAACAACCAAATTATTAGAATGGTTGAATTTCCTGTTAATGAAAACCATTTTGGAACGTAGAATATTATTTTCTTATATTTTTCGGATTCAATCCTTTCAAAAATCTCTTTTCTTTTGAAAAAAAATGTCTTTATTTGATTCAACCCAATTAAATAATAATACGTTACTGTCGGTTTCTCGAGGTCACTTAGTGTTTTTCAGTACTTACCGGTCGAATTGATACCTATATACTCAATTAGAAGCACTAGTTGTACTATAAAACTGTCAAGAGTTTGGATAAGGGGACTGGTGTTAGAATATTGCGGCACACAAGGAGTAACATTCCCTTGGCCGCTCGGTCAGTAAAACCAACTACCGAGTTTTGGAGTAAAGTTGTTTGATGTTAAAACATCAATAACTGAAGATCTTTATCTAGTATTAAGTTTTGTTGCCGTCCATGAAATAATATTGTGTATACTGCAAGAGTAATAATAAGACAAAAGGTTTTATCTTATTCTGAAGTGTGTAAAGTTTCATCAAGATCGGAATATAACTATTGTGGACATATTCGAAAAATTCATCCAGCATTAAATTGCAGAGTTAAATTTTGTTACTACCCTATAGAAAGTGTATATTTTTTCAAAATGAAAAAGTATTCTAGAACCTAAAGTAATAGTAAGTACACCGAACTCATGATTAAAATGCGTTCAGCAGTTACGGAGCTGAGTGATAACAAACATGCATACATACAAATTTTCGCACTTATAATAAATCTACTTGCATTCCACACATTGATTCTTATTTATAGCGGTTGGTTATTATTACGATGATTCGATGATGATGAAGGGAAATTACCAGGGAAAAATCTATAAGCTTAATAAAGTGATGTTTCTTCAATTTATTATTGTGATTTTTTGTCTTTGTACACTTTTAAAAAGCTAAAAAGAGCCATCAGTCTTTTCAGGCCAACCTACTCATTAGTAACAATGGAAATCGTAATCGGATATTAATTACCTCAAAGTTTAAGGTTAAAGTTTAAAAAGTCTCTTTTAATTTTCTCCTACCATAGCCTACCGTCCCAACTACTCATCTACAACAGTGGCCCATCCATGGTGCGAATTATGTGTGTCTTTTTTTCATCTAAAAACTTTATTTCGTGTTTGTTTTTTATTTTTATATTTTAAGTACTAAACACAATAGATAATTACATTGATAATATTTATAATGTTCGACTAGTTTTCTTTTTTGTTTGCCTTCAATTTACAAATAATTGGTATACATTTCTTTTTATAGAACCCTTCTTCGATTATAGTATTTTTAGAGTTGTATTTTATTTAGAGACAATTTCCATTTTATTATTATGGGTTTTTTTTTTTTTATGACATTAATAAATAGAACACATTTAATCGGACACCAGAATGATTGTCATCCCTTTTTCTCCTCATACATGAATAGGGACCTTTTTTTATTTTAAAATAGTAACTCTTAATCCGTAGCAAATCCGAAAATTTAAAAAAAACCAACTTAAATATAATATACATGCACTAATAATAATGTTTTAATCTCTTGTGTCTCTCTCAGCATACGAGATGAACACGATTATATGACCCATATATTAAATTTAATACGCACGAGTAATGTATAATTATTTGTCTAAAAATACAAATTAACCTCCCAAAAAAATTATTAAACAAAATAAAAAATGAAAAAAATAAGAACTAATACTACTAATGAGTACCGACCATAGGTAATATAGGTATATTTAGGTATGAAGTTAAGCAGGTATAATACATAGAGTTAATTAATTTTTAAATGTATATAATTATAACTTATTGATAACGATTTTGAATTAAGTTCGATTGTTCACATTTTGAAACGCTATAGTTTTTAGGATTTCCATCAAAATTAAAAATCTAAAAGCGTGTGAATATAAATGACTACCTTAAGCTTAACTTCTTTTTGTCCATTCAGTACAAATTATGATGAATTTCGTGTAAAATTATCATGAATTTCTGCTCGGCCAACCAATTTTATTTACAAAAAAACCGTTTTATCTATAATTTTCTTTCTGATTTTCCTTTTAATTTTGAAAATTCCCCGGAAAATCTAACAAAATACCTCTTTAATGCATCATTTAGATAAAATCATATTTTAAAAAGACGCTATACTTAAAAATCCTAGTAAAATGTTTGAAAAAAGGTTGTTCACAGAAAAAAATGAAAAAAAGAAAAACCATTGTAAAACCAATGCAAAAAAGTGCAAAAACACACTTATTAAACCCAATATGTCCCTCACTACGCTCTGAATCTAATAAAAAGAAAAACGCCATATGTCTAGAAACATTCTATAGAGAACATAAGCCAAGGGTCAGATAATTTAAAACAATTTATAATATTATCTACATAATATATAAAAGCGAATATGGAAATCTTTATTACGGGTTAGCTTCGAAAATACTTATTCAATCGTCATTTAGTTTTTTTTTTTTTAAATTAAAGTGAATATCACAGAGCAGGTTTTAGTCATACATTTAGTCCGACAAAGTAATACCTAAATAATTAGTTATTAATTAAAATAAATATGTTAATTATATACCAGTAAACATTAGTAACACGGATAAAATGAAAATAAACACATGTTGTACTGGGTTGCAATTTATATGGTCAAAATGTCTCTACGGTATCTATGGTTTCTTTCCAATTATATTTTCCTATGTTTACTGTTTTCATTATCTATGTCATTATTGAACAATTTACGACATCTACAGTAAATTACGTTTTCAACGTGTTACAATTTTTGTTTGTTGTTGTTGTTTTTCTTTTCCTGGTTATTTTTNCTTATCTAGGAACAATCATTCACAAACGCACGATCAAAATACTGATCAATTTTACGCGGATTTTCGCAAAATGATCCGCATTATCTGGAGAAGATTTTAAACTATTAGAATCTCCGATCTGACCAGCAGAAGTAGTAGACCTAATCTGCAGTAGTTTGGGTTGTATACAAGTATTTTTCATTGCTTAGCAACCGTATAACTAATCCGTATAAGTTTGATATGAAAATTCAAGAAAAGGTATTTTTAAATATTTAAGGACAATAACGGTTAACTACAGTATTTTGATGAGGATTAAAACAGAAAATCCAGGTAGAAAACGTTTTTATTACATATACGTTTGAAATGGCCGAACGGTCAACGCAGGGTTGTCAGATAGTATAATATAAACGTCTGTTTCGGTCGAGATTTAGTTATATTCCCACAAGTATTGGCATCGTAAAAGTATGCTGATTGTCGTTTTCTTATATAGTGTTTTTTATAGTGTTCTAGAATATTTTGGTCATTTTTATCGTATTTCATCATACTCGGCGTGGAGTTGCGATATACTTAATCCCGATATTGATTCTCCCGTAAGAAGAAAACAATATCAAAAATCGCATTGATTTTAGTTTAACTTTAACCACTTGTTTATAAACCGAAAACAATAATAAATTTTTTTATTTATAAACAGTTACATTTTTAATCATCTTCTACGGTATGTTTTCTTAATTAATGGCATATTCGTAATATGCACATTATAGGGACACATATATATTGGTCATAGGTATATATAGGTGTCAATTTGTTTTATTTGTTTACCTTTATATTAGTTTAGTGGGCCTCAAAGTTTTGTTTTTAAAATTGGTGTCCGCACAAAGAAAAAGGTTGGAAACCGCTGCCCCAAGGAACTCAAAATGATTTTTACATGTAGTGGTATGTAGTTGGCCAATTTCTAAACCTTCATATATCTAATACTATTGAGTCCTAACCTTAAACTGTAGGGACGTTGTAACTTAACCTAACCTAACATTTAGTAGAGCTTACTCATAAACTTATTTCGACCATCATATAGTAAACTCTTAAATCGTGTCACTCAAATAAGCGATTTAGGCAATATTCTTGTTGCCTCTTTATAATTTAGCCTTTACATTGACTACGTTATTTGCAAATTCTTGTGTATATTTGGTACACTTCTATGGTTACCATGTATTATGGAATACCAATATATGGAAAATTAACCGTGTTCAAAACCATGGGGTTTGGCTGTTATTTATTAAAAACCCTTCATAAATAACATGATAATAGTCCGTTCACTAATATTTTAGAATTAAGCCCGTTGTCTTACAGACATCAGAAGTTAGATATAACATTTATGTAAAGCCTTACTAGTGATGAGATTGACACTTCTAAGTTTCTTGAGTGAGTTACCTTTCAAGTACGTTTAATTATAATAGAACTTCTTTAACCTTTCTTACAGTGAAATTTGATTTATAATTCGAATTATAAAAACCACTAGAACGTATGTCTATTTTATGTTCGGAATGTTTCATAGTTATTAAATGTATTTTTCTCATATCACAACTATTATTATATCTTTACTTAATTAATTATCATGAAAAGCTGGGAAGTGTATATTGCAAATAAAAATACAAAAGCAAAACAAAACCCCAATATAGTGCAATAGTCTCTATTTTCGAGAGAAATTCGACAAAAAGTAATATTTAAAAAAAAAATATTTCCATGTTGATTCAAATAAAAAATGCGTTGGAAATTAAATTAACAGTAAACAAACAAAAAAAAAAAAAAAATTAAAAACGTAGGATTTTAAATACAAAATTTTGTTTACGGTTTTTATTTAGGTATATAATAATAATATAATATGCATTTCGCATATTTAGTCGTGTAAAATAACAATGATGTAAAAATAATAATAAAAAACCTCTATAGGCAGGTACCCGTATTTAAGCCGGATATAAACGACAGAGAGTGGGAGACAGTATAATACTTTCCATATTTTTATTAAAAGTGTTGTCGAAAGTAATAATATTATTATAACACAAAAACTAAAATAAATTTAAACAATGCCGCAGATTAAGCTGGAGGCTCTCTTTTTAAATACATTTAATGAACATTTTTGTACTACAATTTTTTTTAACGAATATATTTTTTACTTCGTTAAAAACATTTAACATATTCTATACTTAAATAATGGACCTAAAGGATGTATTTTCCTCTTGGATGTATCCTCCTCTATTCACCCCCCATGGTATGTTAAAGCCAATGTTATATGTATACACAATACACACATATATTTTTTGAAGCCTTGGCATGTTTCTATGAATCTGTGAAAATATTAAGGGTTTGGATATAGAATTGAAAGCAGAACCAAATTTGTGAAAAAATAAGAGAGGTAAAATTTAAAATAATCCGCAAATAATTACAGTTGAAGCATTAGAACACTGCAGTTAACTTTTTCCTAACATCAAAATATTTTTTTTATTAGTTTACTAGTTTCTACAACCACAGCGGAGAGATCTTTCTCAGCTTTAAAAAGGTTAAGAATTACTTACGACCCATTGTGTCTGAATTCATGTTAAACATGAGGCTATGTTAAACATACACAAACTGATAGTTATAAATATAAACCAAGTTATTTCTGCATTTTTGCAAAAAAAAGAGAGGGGTAAAGTAAGAAGAATGATCAAAATGACCAAACAATTTTTACTGATTTTTTTGTTTATCAATTAAAATGAATATGTGATAGAATTTTCATTTTTCATTTAAACATTTTTATTTTTTTATTTATTATTATTATTATTACAGAGAAGATTATTTTTTTAAAATAAAAGAATTTGTTTTAGATGAGTGTTTTTCAAGTTTTTACTCATAGTTATCTTTTTGAATATTAAGCACATTCATTTTTTAGGACTAAAAAATGGTCATACAATCTGGATGGACTATACAGAACATGATAGCACAATAGCACCTCCCATAAAAATATCCTAGATCCACCACTGCATGTTATTAGGAATAAGTACTCTTAATTTTATAATTTTTAATTTAATTTCACGTGAACAAAATATTATAGTTTATCTATGTATTAACAGTAAGTATTGGCCGTCTCTGTTTTAATTACGGACAGTATTTGTTCACGAAACACAAAATCACGAAAAAAAATTGTGGTAATGAACGGTAATTATAAGTGAAGCGAGAAATGTATTGATTTTACTATGTGTATTTTGACTGTATATAAATATTAGATTTTATTATACAATACAAATAATTGGCCGTTTTGATAGCAACGTGCAATCTCGTAAACTACATTAACTTGAAACTTAGATATTCAATTTGATATCAAGAGACTCAGTATGATTATAAAAATCACGATGGAGATTTTTCACGATCTTCAGAAGGTCAAAAGTGATATTTTCAATCATTTTCAGGATTTTTTTTTATCAAAAGTTAATATTTATTGAAATAGAAAGAAACAAAATATTTCAAAATGTACCTAGGTTACCGTTTGGTCACAATTGATTTTTTTAAGTGAAAGGAGTCTTTTATACTCCCTATCAAATTGTCTTCTAAAACAATTACACACCCAAAAGCAGTACTAGTCTTTTGTTTATTGAATGATGACTGCGATACAACCTCACAATAATATACGTTATTCATTGCGAAAAAGCAATACAATCTACGACATCTACAATGACGTTTATATTATATTATAATAAAAATATTATTTTTTATATAGGTACACTGTCCAGTAGATTGTATTTAACAAACAACCCGAACACGAGAACTCGGATACTATAATACAAAATTGTTGGTAACTCAGCGAAAATGAATTGTTCGGCGTAATACGTATTAATTTATCGTTTATAAAACAGGATTGTAATCTGTATATTACTATAATATAAATCCAAACAAAAACTATTTTTGATAAAATGTATCTTACCGTAATACAAATGGTGGATTTAACACCAAATGATTATAAAAAAGGTTTTTTTTGGGGTGGGGGAGTGTTTCGTGTACAAAATGTATCAAAAGTAGTCAATTTTCTCGACTATACAAACTATAATTATATAGAGTATAGGACATAGGTATATTAAAATTATTGATCTGCTGATGTATGTACCACTGTTTGAGTAGGGAAGTTGAACCGGTTTGTATAGAGTAATTTTATATCTGTATGCAACGATATAATACTATAACAATTTCAACCGAAAAACTTTTAAACGGTTCTGGGCAAAGTATTAATAATCATATTTTTTTCCTTTGTTATCTGTTTAATCAAAAAATCAACATAAATAATACAAAATATTACCGGTTTTTCATATTTATTAAGAAAACTATAATGCAAATAAAAAAAATGACCTTTTTAAAGTACTAACTAAATTAAAAATTCTACGGGAAATTTCTTATAAATGTTTGATTGGAGCAAGATTTCTGGTAGAAAAATTATTCACAAATATAAAAAAAAATCGAATATTTGACACAAAAGAAATGCTGTTACGTCGTTTGTCTCGTGAAAAAAAGTCGCTTACCGCTATATCGCTATTAAAGCACTTATTTGCAACGACGACGGAAAATAAGGTAATAATAAGGTTCGGACCACGTTTATTGAACAGGTAGATAGTGACAAGAAGATATAGTGGAGGTGGTATATTTCTTCCGGGTCGGAAATACACTTGAGGGTCGGGTAATAAGTCACGGGACCGCTGCTGTCGCCGCACAAAGCCTTGGATATGGTTGAAGAGGAAGCTCTTCCGACCCCTTTAAAAAATATGTGCTCGGTGACACACGCTATCGATCGCAAGCAGGGTAAGTGCTGCATTTCATGAGGACAAAATAAAGCGTCTCTATCTTAGTGTGCATAACTTTTCCACCGATTTATATTATTGTTATTATTGTTGTTGTTTTCCATATAATATACATGAACTATATTATAGTTTGTATTAAAACGCGTTCGCGGCCAAGAAAAACACAAAAATCGAAAAAAAAATACCCATGAGCAGCAGAGGTTTCCGTCATATAGTCGAATTCCTCTGCAATTCCTTCGCAAACGATAAATATTTATATTATGTAATAATACAATATTAAAGAAAACAAAAAAAAAAAAAATCTGCTACTGCTGATGGGTGTATCACTGTTGTAAGTGGTAAGTTGGGAATGTAGGATACATAAAGTTATTAAATTTATATCTGTAAGCAATGACTAACGACAATGTAAAACGACTCTCAGTGCAGTTTGTATATACATGACATGAAAACCTTAATTTTTATTATTTTAATCAAAATTGTACGTTAAAACCACTATCATAAATAATTACAACATTACGATCTACGTTTTTTTGTTACCACCCAGTATAACTTATTATAAACCTCCTATTCAGTTTTCAATGGTTTTTGTTTGGTCAAATACTAATATCCTTATAGTACCAATGAAATAAAATCTTCGTACAATTTTACCACACATAGAAAATTGAAGTATAAGTTGTTGTTAAAATTTCAAATCTCTACGAATATTTCTTATTGAATTGCAACAAAAAAGTAAAATTGAAAAAATGTTTTCAGTATTTTTGCCGTTTTTTTCTTTCGAATTTGCTCATTTATTAAAAAAACTACGAGGAAATTCAAAACAGGGCTTTTTTACTTATTAACTAAGTTAAAAATTTTAAAATCGTAACGCCGTTTATTTATTAGTTTTTATTATTTAACTTTTTTTCAAATTCGAAAACAACTTATTCCTCAACAACTAAATCAAAAATTCGACTAAAAATATTTCATGTAATTTTATGATTAAACCAATTTATATTTGGACTCGATTACATAATTCCTGTGTCCCCGCGTCTCCCCACTTAAATGCTCGAAAACAAATAAGAGTTCAAAAACTAACACTCGTTATCGAATATGATATATTTTTTAAAAGTAAAATATAGTAGGTCCGTTAAAATATATATTATTATTTTTATTACTTTTAAGTTTTTAAGGTACAATTATTTTTTAAGGTTGTGTTTTGTTTTTCTTGTGGTACAGAATACATAATATAACCACGCGGTCAGTAAGTTCACAAAGTCGTCCAAATATCGTTTTTTTTTTTTTTTTGTAGATTGTAAAGAAATACTTACGCCAAGTTTCGAGTTCAGGTTAGAGGTTTGATGGTTTCATTTTATCATAATATTTAGGTATTATTATAATATAATGTGTAATGCGTTTTAATGGAAAAGTTACGCGCTATCCCATATATTGTTTAAAATCTGCTTTTATATCTTATCGTGCAGTGCACGCGTTTATTCGCGTATTTTAGTGTATACATTTCCAAAGTTAGATAAAAAATAATTTCGTCAATCATTTCAGACCACACCATAAAACCATCAGTGTTATTTAATTTTTTTGTAGCATAATTTAAAAATGTCACCAAAAAAAACACGAATATAATTCAGTAAATTATTAATTCATTAATTGTAATAATAATTTAAAAAAAATAAAATAAAATATTTTAGTTAGCTCTTCAATATTTTTGATACGATATTTAATCTTTTTTTCCTCAGACGTTAATACCTATAGATAAAAAGAACGTCGACACCATCGTACATGTTTCTAAAAGTTTTTTTTTTTTTTTTTAATCATGGTTTTTATCGAATATGATACCTAACATGGATATAATTGAACATTTGAACGCAAGAGCAGATGTCATTGCAGAATAAGCCATTTAAAATTGTCTATTATATACATAAAAAAAAATTGATACTTATATTTTCATTTATTTATTTAATAAATACATTTAAATAAAAAAGTTTTACTTTGGAGTTTTTTATTCATTATTATTATTATTAAATCTTATCGTCGAATGACAACTATTATCGTATCATTTTTTTGATAGTGTATCAGTGAACGGTAGAACGTCATCGTACAATACTTATAAATTGTTTCGTTCTTTACGTGTAATATTTAAAATAAATGTATTCTAAACGATTTCTACCAGAACATTACGTTTCAGATATAATAATTTGCATACTGCATAATATGAAAAATCGTTTCGTGCATTATCGTTGTATAGCCGAATTGAATGAAAAATACATTAAAACGTTATTATAAATACACCTACGGTTTTTTTTTTTTGTTTTTTTGGGGGCTGAAATACATTATAAATCATAATGTTTTCTATATAAAAACCACAATTATAATTATTGTGATTTCTCTTTTCGAAATTTTGTACCATGGAAGCTTTTTATTTCCGTTCACCCGGACGAGTATATATATATATATATAATGAAAAGTATATATTTTCTAAATCCTTTTAATTTTCCCATCATTCGTTTATATTGTAATAATAATAAAAATAATAATAATAATAATAATGATAATAATTTTATGTTTTAATGCCAACACATATTCACCATACATAGATACTGTTACACAGTGTATGTATATATTTGTAATATATACCTATATATGTATTATTTCCCCGCTACTTTTGGACTCTCTTAGCGACTCCCTTTGAACCAAATGAGTCAATTTTAATTGAATTTAAATATCTTTCTTTAATCATTTTAGTTGTTTTAAATGATTTATAAAACAAAAATAAATGAAACATTATAACGATGCATGTTAGGTTAGGTCAGAGAAAAATTAAGTGATTATTAAGTAAATTAAATTATTAAGTATTAAGTGTATTATAGTATATATTTAATATTTATTAAATTAAGTAGACGATTTTTATTGCATAAATCGTACACGAAGTTTACATTTTACTATAAATGATGTGCTTCTTTAACGGATTTATAATTTGCAAAATACTTATAAATATCTATAATCAATTATAAATGATATAACTGATTTTTACTTTACATTGCATAACAGTGACAATTAATTATTACAATAATTATTAGATTTGAATATCCCAATGTCAAGAACGTGATGCATCTATAGACTATGTTCGGATCAAATGTGAGCAAACTCCAATGTTTCGCAAACTATCGGTGAACGTAATGTGCGTAAACTTGCAACATTTCTAACTTCTGCGATCCAGTAATTATAGTGATAATATTATATAGCTGCATGATATCGTATAAAATACAAGATAAAGCGAATCAAGAAGTTTTAATTGACAATTGTATTTAAACTCAAGAGGAGACGTTTTGAAGAAATGGACATAGTTATAGAAATAAGACAGTATATTGAATTTGTTCGCTATTTGGTTTGCATCCGGTGTTTTACCTCAACAGGAAACACAGAAAACTATTAATTATGAAAAGTACTTTGAAGAATAATATTTGTTTATATATAAATTAAAGAGATCGCAAATTCGTCATTAATCCACGGTCGATTATTTTATGGACAGAGTGCATAAATTATTAACTTATATTTACTGAATTCGTATTTCGCCCCAGTTGGTTTAACAATTCCGTAATGAAAATGATATAGGCAAAACATAATATAATTATTTTATTCCCAAAGTGTGCCCTCAAAATATCGTAAAATATTCCTAATATAAAATATAGTTGACCTTGAAACGTAAATTCAGAATCTTGTTCATATTCTGTCTAAAGTCCATTATTTTGTATTTTTCTTCAAATAAATAAAATAAAAAATTCCCGAAATTTTCGTTGCATTTTCAAATTTTTTTATACGTCACGTATTAAATGTAAATATTTTGATTAAGGGTTATTTTGAAGAGGGACTTCGCTGTACAGAAATAATTTAATAACAAAGTTTTTGATAATGTGACAAATTGTTTGCAGTATTTTAATGATGGATGAAATGTCAATATAAATAATATATATATATAATATGTAGTCTGCGGTTTCAAGATGTTTTTTTTTTTTTTTTATCGTGAACTGAAGTGGACCCAGCAAGTGGCCTGCAAAGGATCGGGTTATGTCAAGCTCTTTGTGATATAGGAATTTGACGATGTACATATTATTATTATTGGCTTCGAGTTTATTATTATATTAATACGGTGGCTGCTTCGTTGAACGACGACGACGACGCGATGATGACGTCAAGAGCATCCGCGTAAAATGATATTGCATACAAATCAGGAGGGGGCCTAAAGTATATATATAAAAAAAAAAACCATAATAATATTGTTGGCACATATGCGTATATATACATATATACTTGTATAATATGCACATACCGAGAGAAATCGCAATCTGTAATTAAAATTTTAAAAATATCGTTCGCAAAAAATAAAATAAAAGCTGTGCTTTTAAAATATTATTTGTTTTTTCCGTAATATTTTCAATTGTTAATTAATACGATTGTTATTACATACAATTGCATTCGAAAATTACTCTGCGTAGGAATTTAAAAGCAATCGTATATTTAATTTTCATAGTCTATTTTGGCCGTTCATCGCGCAATTTCTGAGGCATAAATGTCGGTTAAAATCCAAGAGATTATACACATTCCTAAAGTACTAATTAGTCGCGTGAAACACGTTAGGTATGTGTACGCACAAAATTAGCGTTCACTGAAAGAGTAAAATAACATCACAAGGTTACAAACAAATAGACCATTTTGTCCGTTGATTAAACTCCAAAAGACTGCGGTACTTGTTTTTCGAGATTATAAAATTAAAAAACGTGTTTAATAAAAATTAAACAGTAAATGCACATGTAATTAAAATATTCCTATAAAATATTAAAGTTTAAAAATATTTTTATTTTTTTTTTTTGGTTAGGTTAAAATCGATTTCGTTAAAAAACAACCTCGAATAAATTAAGGCATTTTCGTTTTAAGTTAATCATAGTGTCTTTGTTCAATTTTTAATATACTTCTTATAATTTAGATGCTTCATTCAACTGTAAAAGTATTCCTTTATCCGTAATTGAAATACCATGGATAAGAAAACTAATAAAAGAAGAAAAAAATACACGGCATCGAAAGATCAAAACATTTTCCATTCAGAATCTGCATGTACTTATAAAATAATTTTAACTATTTTTGAAAAACAAATATTGTATTGTAAGAAACAATGACTTACTCAGCAGATTATATAATATATAAGAGAATAATTTCTTCAGAGGTCTTTATCACCTCTTCAACAGTCAGGGATGATTTTAAAACTAAAATCGTGAGGAGCTGAGCTTATTTTTATTTTTAAATTGCAGCTGAAAATAGATTCCATTTCAACTTTAAGGTCATGTGCTATTAGCTGAGATACAAGGTATGTGCAAAAAAACAAAAAATAAAAAAAAATGTTAGGACAAACAATTTTTGAAAACACTACAACACAATTAATATCGTTAACAAACTAATAAAATCAAATTTTGAAATTCGTGCTGCTGTAGTGGCTGTACATAGATACGCAATATTTTGTCGACTTAATGTTTTTGGGTGTCGCCGGAGAAACGGCAGATAATTGATTTTGCGGTTTATAGGCTTGGCAGCAGGAAACAACGTCAAAAAAAAAGAAATGCACCAATTATTGGCGTGGGTATAGTATATCATAATATACGACCGTCCAGATGACCGCAAGCGTGGTAAAAACCTGGCAGACTCGGACAGGAAGTAATAAACAGCTAGTGCCGATTTATTTCGAGTGTTTATATTACTACTATCACGATGATATTCGTTCGATTTATCGTGAGATTCTCACGTTTGTTTGGCCGATGTAGACGTTCCAGGTTAAAACGGTGGGCGATAAATATAAATCGTCTGCCAACATTTTTTTTAGGTATCGATTAAAGATTTGTATACGTATACATACCTTAGGTTTAAAATACTTGAATATAATATATTTTTGACCAAGTAATACATAGAAGTTCATAAAATATTAATAGAATATCCGAATAGAAAATAAAAGATTGGAATAGGTTATTTATCATTTTTATTTCATCATCTAGGAACAAACACGCGAATTTCTCCAATATAATAATTACAATCGGCAAAAAATTATCCATAGAATATTATATTACAGATATATCTCAAAGATATAAATTTTGGATAATTGATTGCTAGAACAAAAATAATTATTAAACAAAAAAATATCGATATATAAGTTTAAAGAACATTAATTAAATCTACGGTAATATAATTTAGATATTATATGAGATATTCATTATAAGTAAGTAATTATATTGTAAGTAAGATTAATCACAGTTTATTGTTCCAATAATAATTTAATCAAATTAAAAACGAACACAATATAAAATAAGAACCTAATATAACAAGCGGAAAGATAGGTAATAGCTGATGCTAAGAATATTCATGAATATTAATTTTAATCTTAAAAACTACGGCCTTCGAAAACATGTATAACCGAACTTCGCTCCAAATCGTTTTTTGTCCATCATTGTTACAGATATAAATTATATAACTTTAACACTACCCAACTTCCCATCAAAAACAGTGGCACACCCGACCCCGGTATCAACTCTTGTTTGTAAAAATATTTCTTTTGTTCTATTTTCAACGATGAAACTTGGCTGTTTTAATACATCTATCTGCGTGAAACAATTTTACCTTTTCACCGTGTGTGATTCGTCTTTAATAAAAAGTACTTTATGCCGCAAACATCAACATAAAATATAGGTGATTTCCCATTAACTCTACTGTTTACGTATATTATATGAACATCACGTCAAAACCGTTGCGTTCGCTATTCCGGAACAGTAAATTGAACTACATATTTTAGAGACAAAGCGCAAACTTTACGAAACAACATGCTGATAACTTCGCTGCCTATAATATCGAGTTTTCATTTTGAATTTGAATAAATATTATGTTGTTTTTGCCGAAGTAAAGCAATTTTCAAATTGTAATATATCACCGTATTAACGCTACGGATACGATAAGAAAGCGATTTCTCATCGCTCGATTCTTGTAATTTATTTACGTCTGCGGGTATCCGATTCCGGTGACAGCTATACTTATAATAGTGACGATAATGAACGAATATTTGAAAACACCCTATATAAAGTCAATAAACAATACAACTGTCGAACACTGACCTATATATTGTATGCAACGAACGGAAAGGTGAGTACTAATTTTTCTTCGAATACCTTTAATTGACAATAGATAACGCATTGATAGAGCAAGTAGAATACTTTACTTATTTAGGAATTATAAAATAACTGATAGCAACCGAAGTAAAGTAGATATAGTTAGTATGATAGTAGAAGAAAAAATAATTTTTCAGAATACAAATCATCTACTGACCATTAATAGTGGTTAATAACCTAACCTAACGTTACTAGTAAGAAAAAGTTCCTGGAAGATTATATGCAGAACGTAGTTCTATATGGCTGTGAATTTAAACAAATAAATTAAAATTTTAAGAACCAAAACCAAGAAAAATTATAATACATAAACAAATATAGATTCCTATGGTGCATGTAGAGCTCAGAATTTGAAATTTTGATTATTGATCGAAATTTTGGTTTTTCGTGAACAACAAAAAAAAAAAAACCGATATACTTACATGTATAACGGTTAGTAACATCTATTTTTGTACCAATTCGTGAAATTCTTACTCGGGATAGTCGAACAGTTAGAACTATATAATAGGTACTTCGGAACGTCGTCCTACAATATACCGCAATGGTTACTTTAATTGAAAAGCTCACGGGTAGCTGCAGACGTGTAAAATAAATTGATACGGCCATAAAAACGCTATTTCGATTATATCGCGATTTTTAGTTCAATCTTTGCGCAGCCTGACCGCCACTTCAACAATGTTATAGGAAACGTAAGCACTTAACACTAAATGCTCGAAATCTTGAATCTCAACATTTTAATTTATCACACATTCATATCTGGTGAATAATTTCTTAGTTATGGCTGTTTTAATTAGGAGTGAAAACAATTAGTTTTAAATAAAATATCACGTTATGCGATAAGGAACAACAACCAGCATGATAATTTTTTACCTTCTATTGAATATTAATTGTTATCACGCCTATTTTCTAAAAACTAAAAAGGCTATAATTAGGAAACAATTAATCGGATATGAATGTATGATACTTTGAAATTTTTAGAATAATATTTTTTTTCAAAATGGCTATTTTCTAAAGTAAATAAATAAAAAGTTATTTTATTTTTGTCTTTAGGAGATGAAAATAGAAATTTAATTTTTATCCAAATCGATGTCCCACTCGAAGACAACCCGATTGAAGAAAAGAAATCGAAACAAATTTAATATTAATGACATTAGAAAAATCCGTCGAACACGGTGGGACACACTGTATTAAGTTATAAATAATATAGTAAAATGTACTATTAGTGGTTGAATAAAATTGTTATTATTTATGTATTGGTAATAGAACCATTTAAACTTACAAATTTTTCCGTTATCGATGCACTGTTTACTTTATGTTCATCGATCGATGCATTACGAAGTTTAATTACTATTATATTATAGTATGCGTTAAAATAAAACGAGCTTGTTGATGGTAAAACGATAACAGTATTAACGAAATAAAAGTAAAAAAAAAAACGTATAAGGGTAACCGCGTGTCGTTAGTGCGCTGCGGGATATACAAAAAACCAAGAGCGTTCATAATATTCCAAGGACTGACATCCCTAATTATGTAGGACGTGGGGGTTTTGTTTTTATAAGCTCGTTTACCCGTTTTGAACTATGATTAAATCTAATTTTAATAAATATAAGTACCTATACAGGTACATTTTGTTTTTGCTCGTGTTTAACTGTACTACAACCATAATGGGACTGTAGTACGAGTGTAATTTTTTTATTTTTCAAATCTTACAAATTTAATTCCAAAAATATCGACCTTTACGTTTTTGATTAGTATAAAATGGTGATGTTGTTCATTGGCTGTATATTTTCAATCAATTATATTTGTATAACTGAATCAAAAATAAAAAAATATATATATATATTTATACGTCATTAGAATAGAATATTGTATTATTTATATAATTTTGTATTTGTAAAAAATTGTTGGCCGAATTAATGTTGTAAAACAAAACTCCCATTAAATACATACACCAAATATTCCCATTTACCGGGCATTATATTTAAAATCAAATCCTTTATTATCCATTTCCGATAAGCTCATGATTATCCATTATTTAATTCGTTTCGTCCATTAACATACGAATTCGATCCTGCCGCAATAATAATAATAATAAATCAATTCGAATTTGAAGTTCGACTCAAAATATTTTGTAATGCCATGATTTTTATGATTTTCGTAAAAATGTTTAAATTTTATAAAAGAAAAAACTATTTTACATTTAATTTTTTTTTTTTTATTACTTAGTAAGTTAAGATAAACTTTTTTTAATATTTTAAAGTATAAATTTCTACTTAAATTCATTTAAATAAACCAAATAAAAACATAAAACAATTCGAAAAATTATTAAAAATGTTATGATGTCCAAAAATTGTAATTGTATTGTGTGTAAATTACACGTCTTTAAGATTATTTTTAACAAAATTACAAAAACAAAAATACGAAAACTACAAAACCGTTTTTGCTGTAAATTTTCTCGGTTTTTTCAAGATTATTTCCCGGTTTTTCTCAAAAAAAACTACAAGGAAAGTCAAAAATGACCTCAAATCCAATGATTCAATACACCAATATTAAATACAATTTACTTTTAAAAATATGCTACAGTTGAAAATAAGGCAGACACTAGAAAAAATGTAAAAAACTTATCTTAGTAAAACCAATACATTCCTAGCAGTGCTCACAATCTAAAAGTCTAGTAGAATATTTTAATATAATATTCTCTACATTACAGTCGATTAAATAATCTTCTACCACAAAACGAGAATTATATAATATGTATTTATGATTCTAAAAGCTACTTATATTGGTTTATATGCCGTTTCAATGCTAATCAAAAAGCTACTGGAACATGTAATAAAGTTCTTTTGAATCCGGATATCATTACTACTACTATATGTCGTCATGCAGTAATTCGAGTTTTAATAATCCCGTTGTATAATATGTGTATGTTAAACTTTGCGTTTGCCATATCTAAAAATAGAGAATAAGTATACACCTGAGTCCTCAGATATAACTTTTGGAAGCATATTCAACTCGAAATCTGAAAGCATCGGGTAAAAATCGAAATTTTCTAGGTTTTAAATATTTTCCAAAGCTGAACCACCACGCCTACCGTTCTAGCAGTCTGCAACGGACTTTATGGTTTCAAAATATGTAAACCCAGAAAGAATATGTCAATATTCAATTTCAACATTAATAGTTTTATTCTATATTTTCGAAAAAAAATTAATTTAAAAAATGCTGATCCTGCTGATTAAAGGCTGACCGTAGGGTAGGATCATAATGAACCACACCCTCCCCCATACGGTAATTTAGAAAATATTATGATTTTTACATAAATACTTGGTATATTATCCAACTATGATCCCCCCCCAAACCACTAGTAAATACTTCTACGGTCAGCCATTCGCTAATTGGTGTGCCACTATTTTAAAAAGGAAGCGATAAGGGAAAGTATACAGAGTAATTAACTAAACGTGAGGATTATCGACTGTTATCGAAAAACGAATGTAAGCAGATTATTATCAGTCGCATTTTCCCTCTTGTTACCAATGTAACCAAAATATTATAAAAAATTATGTAACAAATTTTTCGGTTTCCTATTTATTAAGAAAACTACAAGAAAATTTCTGTATAATATTTCCATTTTTATTTTTAGTCACATTAAACCACGGATAAAAATAAAATTCGATTTTCACAGAGCGTTTATGTTTTTGTTGTTTTTCCCTCTTTGGGAAATGAATTATCCGTGTCGTAGTACGTGACTAACCACCGCCTGGTGTTAAGACTGCCAAACCAACACAAAAGGCCTTACACATATTAAATGCCAAAAAGAAAGAAAGAAAGAAAGAAAGAAAACCTAGAAGAAAAACGAAATGATTTTACCGGTGTTTGGGAGTCGACTGCACAGGCAACATTAGTTTACTGGAATTATATGTATTTATTATAAGTAATGCATTTTTGTATTACACTTAATATTTTTTTTTTTAATAATATTTTGTTAGCATAGAGTAAGTTAAGTGTAGGGACATAATAGTACATTTTTAAAGTGGGGGATATGAAGATTTGTTAAAAATATCTAGTAAAAATCATGAGTGTACGAGTATCACAAAATATTATTAACATTAATAAAATAAAATAAACAAACAAATAATGTCTTGTTTTTCATATTTTGTATTTTGTGTCGTATTAAACATGATCCTTAAGTAGACCCAAGAAACTATTGTCTAATAAAGTTGAAAAAGATCTAAAAATACTATGGGGGTGGTTGATCGCAAGTAAGTAGAATCAGAAAAAGTGGAAGGAGGGAATCTTCTAACCTAACCTAATTATGAGCCTATAAACGGCATTTGAAGCAGGAAATAAAAAAAATGTAACAATTTATTTGAAAAGAAGTAAATAGGTTTTGATCTACTGTCTGGAATACATACTTTTTTGGGAGCAAAGATGTTTATCACTGATATTGAGTACGCGACTGGGTAAGCGTAAAAATGTTATTTTTTAATTTATCCATGACTACAGCATCGCATCATGGTCGAAGAAAAATATCATTCAATCGAACTACCTATGAGTATACTTTTGACTGCACTTAAGTATAAAACGTCAGGACACAAAAAGATTTTTATTTTTGACTATACCCTGTGGTCGAACATACTTTTGCACTATCACGGTTGCAGGTAACTGACTGTGTACAAAACTGTTCGGATCCACATAAAAGTCTAATATCATTCCATTGGCGCAATTCGGTCAAATTACCAATCGATATTTACTAAACATTTTATTTGGATCAGAGTATAAAATTCTACATCTGAGACAAAAAAAAAAAACACAACAAAAGTCATAAACCCAGAACCCTTTGCTACACAGATGATAATGATATTCACAAAAGTCGTCATGATGTTACAATGTTATTTTTATAACACAGTAACCGCGTTATTTTTTCACAAGTACTGTTGGCTCGAGACTAAACAATTGAGGAGCCAGTTTTCATAATTTTTTATAATTTTAATAAAATCTGAAAATTATTATTTATTTTTAACATTTGAATGATAAGATTTTTTTACTAATCTAATGTCTTTTATTTATTTGTAGGAAAGGGTCAAAAGTCACTAATCAGTATACGGACAATAATAATTTCGTAAAAAACAGGAAAAGCTCCTTGTCAACGTATATTTACATACATATATATTTTTTTTTATTTTTTATTTTTTTTTACGATAAAAATGACCAAAATATTCTAGAACACTATATAAGAAAACGACAATCAGCATACTTTTACGATGCCAATAATTGTGGGAATATAACTAAATCTCGACCGAAACAGACGTTTATATTATACTATCTGACAACCCTGCGTTGACCGTTCGGCCATTTCAAACGTATATGTAATAAAAACGTTTTCTACCTGGATTTTCTGTTTTAATCCTCATCAAAATACTGTAGTTAACCGTTATTGTCCTTAAATATTTAAAAATACCTTTTCTTGAATTTTCATATCAAACTTATACGGATTAGTTATACGGTTGCTAAGCAATGAAAAATACTTGTATACAACCCAAACTACTGCAGATTAGGTCTACTACTTCTGCTGGTCAGATCGGAGATTCTAATAGTTTAAAATCTTCTCCAGACAATGCGGATCATTTTGCGAAAATCCGCGTAAAATTGATCAGTATTTTGATCGTGCGTTTGTGAATGATTGTTCCTAGATAAGCGCATTTTTTTGGGCACTATTTGTGGAACGATCAAAATCTCATATCCTTTACATGGACGTTATGCGATAAATAAAAAAAAATAACCAGGAAAAGAAAAACAACAACAACAAACAAAAATTGTAACACGTTGAAAACGTAATTTACTGTAGATGTCGTAAATTGTTCAATAATGACATAGATAATGAAAACAGTAAACATAGGAAAATATAATTGGAAAGAAACCATAGATACCGTAGAGACATTTTGACCATATAAATTGCAACCCAGTACAACATGTGTTTATTTTCATTTTATCCGTGTTACTAATGTTTACTGGTATATAATTAACATATTTATTTTAATTAATAACTAATTATTTAGGTATTACTTTGTCGGACTAAATGTATGACTAAAACCTGCTCTGTGATATTCACTTTAATTTAAAAAAAAAAACTAAATGACGATTGAATAAGTATTTTCGAAGCTAACCCGTAATAAAGATTTCCATATTCGATTTTATATATTATATATATATATATAACATGATTCTATAAACTACATTGAATTTCGAATTGTTTCATTTGATTTTAAATAATGGTATAAAAAAAGTTCGAGAATAAAAGTTTAAAATTTACTATTTTTAAAAACGCATTTTAAAGTTTGAGATGAAAATATTGAAAAAATAATTCAACGCAGTCTATAGAAAGTCTCCTTTCTAACAAAATATAATCGTTGAAATCGGGAACACACTACGACACATGATAATTTTTCCTGTAAGACATGTTTTGAGTAAGCAAACAAGCTGGCACTGTGCACCTAACACCATTTAGTTCAAGATAAACGTGTAATTTTTCTAGTTCGGTGGTCGAATGTACTATATACGAGGGGGAAGTGAGTGTCCACTGTTCTTTTTGTCCAACCTTCTAAGAGCTTCATAATGATGTATAATATTCCGTATTTGAAGTACAGACATACGCCTTTTTATCATTTTTTCTCTGTTTAGAGTAGAAAATATAAATATAAAATGTTGTTTGAAATACTTTTGTACGTATAGGCAAATAACAACGGAATATCAATAAACGCGAGTGAAAATACGAAATCGCTAGTAGGTAGTATTTTTTTTTTTTTATATATATAAACTTTCTTTTTAATAATTTATGTATTCGAAAAGGTCAATAACGGTGTATGTAAACTATCGATGATCTTTTCAAAGTCAGTGGAACTTAATTATAAGTTTTATATCCGCGGTAAGGATGTGACTGCTGCATCAGACGGAAGTTTCGTAATTCTATATAGGTAGCTTATAGGATCCGTAGTCGACGTTGGGACACGACCAATGGAAAATCTACAAACGGAATACATAATATAGATAACTTAGTTATCCTTTTTTCCCCCTCACCCTCTCCAATTTTTCCAAAGGTAAATTTAGTTGCTTCTCAAAGACTTCGTATAGGGAAATTCTGTATATTATTTTTCCTCGAGTAAATATTATATTAATTCGCCGTCGTTCGAACAGATTCAAATTGACAGCTATTTAGTTTTAATTATTCGCCTAGTGTTGATAAAATTACAATGAACATTTGATTCCTAGTTAAGTTACTAACTAAAAACACATTTTCCAAGAAAAAATAAAAAGAGACGAAAACCTCAAAAAATGTTTCAAATTAAGTACTCCATCCAACGGAAAGCCCTAATGTACAGATTGAATCTGACCATTTTTATTACTAATCGATAAACATTCAATTTATCGAGTTATCACACTTTTTAGTTTTACCTAAATTGTAAAGGGTCGAACTGCATCAAAACAAATTTAAAAAAAATTGTTCGAAACACTTATTTCCCTTCCGATTTACAAGCTTCGAACTGACAATGATTTTAATCATTGGTACGATTAAAAGTAAGCTATCTTTTTATAGTAAATGTAAGAGAGTGAAATATTTTTTGAATTATTACTATTATTATTTGAAATCATTTTTGTTAACAATTACAATTGTAACAAATTAAGTTTAAAAATTTCATTCTGGCAATTGATTTCCGAGGATATAAGGTAATATATTTTTCAATTATTAGAAAATGTATTATATCTACCTTTTTTGAACCGAGTGGAATTTGACGCTTTACTCAGTGAAATTATAATAGCTTCTTCGCTACACACAGAATGCAAAAAAAAAACTGATCACAGTGGTTTTGTGACTAGTAAATGCATACCTACGCTTATCAAGATGATGGATTACGGAAACGCCGAACACGCGCAAAATTCATGCGAAAACGAGACCGTCGAGATTCTGACGAATGGACGCTCGTTAAAGTTTAGAGACCGATAAAAATATAGTACGATTTCCCGGCGTGGATACTTATACGTTTACCGCATCCCCTAAAACCGCGAAAAATAAAATATGCAATAATCAAATAAATTGCATCGATAACTAAATTATAAAAATAACAAACTTATTTTACAGTGTAACACGTGTATTCATTGAAATCCGTAATAATACAGAATTTCAATTTAAGATTGAAAAACTCCGTGTTGGTTAACATATAAACATCGAATGCGTTCCTCGTCCCTAATACATTTATATTCTCGAGTTAATTAAATCGAAAGGGTGACTACGCTAAAACCGACGTGGAGAAATAACAAATCCCTACGGCTTGCGAGTTGTTAGTACTGAATAAACACAACGAATAATAATAATAATAACAATGTAAAAACATAATAATATTATCATCTTGTAAATATAATCACGAAAAATGACTTGTTTCGCAAATGGCTTTAGGTTATATATAATAATGGACTTTAAACGATTACGAGTGCACGCGTATACACACTATAGTTATACTATAGTTGTACACTACCTACTTGAAATACTTCGAATTAATAATACAATTTGGTGCTTATAAATAACACGCAATACGGTACCGAAAGAATAACCGATGCAGAAAACAAATTAAATAAAAAATTAAAAGTATGCTTATAATATATGTGCGCGTATTTTGATGAAAAAATTCCTGTTGCAATTGACGATTATTTTTTCTTGCCTTTATTAAAATTCTATTACGAATACCTAGGTACCTATACATCGTGTCAAACTTAGAAATATATACGGGTATCTAAAGATTAAATTTGCATACGCATAATAAAATCAGATCCAAGAAATTAAAATATTCGAACGGAGTATACAATAAAGTATAGCGAAATGTATAGGAAATAAAACGAAAAAAAATACGTTTACAAAGCGCATTATGCTAATAATATTGTATTATATTGAAAGTATAGAAGTTTTTAAGTAGAGTTGAAAATATCGGCGGAATATATTATGCACACACAATAACATAAAAAAAAAACTCAAAATACGCTTTTAAATGATTGAATAAAATGAAAAATGTTCATATAAATTTGCTAAATACGTCAGATAAATTTATTATCAACATATTTTTGGAACAATTTAATATAAAGAGAATACAATTGTGAAATAGTAATAATAAAAAAAAAATATTATTTTAATGTTCTCTCTCGTGGATTAAAAAGTACCCGTGAGCAGTAGAGCTCTAGGACATAATCGAATTTTCCCTCACCCGACTTATCACCTTTGTTCATATTTGTAAATTTTTTGTACTATTGTCTAAAATAGTTATGTTTTACAGTTATTTTTTTAAAATTTGTTTTGGATTTTCAAATACATTGTTCTTGGGTTATTTAACGTTTAAATCTTTTAAATGCACATTCTCGACAAGAATTAATGCTATTTATATACACAAATTTGAATCCCATTAGTTTTATAAATCTGTAGTGTATTTAAAACCTGATGTTGTATTAGAAAAAAAAAAAAAAAAGATTGGTAGAAAAACTGATCACAGATACACAAAAATATAAATACTGGGATGTGCCACTGGTAAGTGGGAAGTGGGAAAGGTATGATGCATAAAGTTTTTTAATTTATATCTAGAAGCAACGATAAACCATTTCTAACGAAAAATGATTCAGAGTAAAGTTCGATTGAACATATTATTAAAGGCCGTAATATTTAATATTTTCGTCAAAATTTCATATTGAAATTCATATAGGAGTTTTTTTTCTTATACAGAATACCTATAACAAATAAAAATTTCCTAAAAAAATTGCAAAATTAAAATGTTTATGAATAGCTCAAAAACGGTTCAAATGTTATAAAATTTGACCATGTCTAGAAAAAACAAGTAACCTGTAACATGTAATACCCAATTTACTGTACGATTTTCGTTGTGCAAATAATTATATTTGCAGGTACATACATAATATCCGAATTGAATTTACTTACTTGTATACAATCACTGGAAATGTTTCGATAAAAACTTTGTAGTTTGTTTGAAATATATATATATTAATTCTTCAGGTATAAACTTTCTAATTAAAAGTTGACTTTGAATTTTAATACGCATTTTGTTTTTAAGCAAAATCATATTTGAATTCTTTATAAAACTGTTACAGAAACAAAATATATATAAATGCTTTTATAATTATATAAAAATGTTTTGTTTTCAACTGTTATTATCGATTAAAAGATTTTACAGTTAATATAGTTATTATTATTAAGTGACTAAAAACGGTATTTTTTATTTTTGTTTTTTATTAGTTTTGAAAACGTGATAATTGTATATAATTAATCCTGCAAGTTAGAAATTAAAGAAAACAATTCATTAAGCTGCGTACTTACTTGCAGAGCACTAAAAATTACAATATCGTTAAAAATTCAATGTATAAAAAAAAAAAAAAGAAATCATATACACATGTAAAGCATTAAATGTTTTCAAATTTAATAAAATTGTTTTGGGTTTTCCATAATTTTTCAATGGTAATTTTGACGTTTTTTTTTTGTCACGTTTTTCAGAAATATAAAAATTGTCACACTGAATGATTTACGAGCACCATTCGAAGTCCAAGCCGATCGATCATTATCAAGATGATTAAATTAAGAGGGCGTATTTACTGTCTCGGTCCAACTAACGGACAATATAGCGAAACTCCGTAGCTTAGATTATTGAAATATTAGTGTTTAAGCGCAAATTATGAATTGAACGCAAATAACAAAGTTTAAAGAACATATTATAATATTTTCGAGGGCACCGTATTTTTTCTCAACTAACAAAAAAATAAGCTTCTTTGCGGCGTTAAATTAATTCATTATGACGTCGTACGACGATTGTGTTTATATTAAAAGAACCCCTCTAGGGGTTTTTGTTGTGAAATTAAATACCTATACAATAGTATTCCGCAACGAGGTGAAAATGGAATAAGTGTAAATGCAGTGTCCGCACGGGCGTATAGAGGCAGACTGTACTTATATTTTTGCAGTAGATACTCGGTAGATCGGAAAATAACAATATATTATAAATTTTGTCGACAAGTATGCGACTCAGCAGAGATGGAAGGAGGTATTGTTCGTATACTTATTAACATCAGAAATAGTGTAATACAATAATGGCACAGGAAATATTATGTAAAACAAACAACTATATACTCGTACTATAGAAAATACCCTCGGAATCCGTTTTATACCGAGTGCATATAAGAATAAAAAATTGTTTTATTAACGCCGTGCGGGTATTTTTCTTCTACTGCGATACCACAATGGTTATTATATCATATTATATTATGTAAGCACTTACATTTCAAGAGCGTTATCAAATTAAAAATCAAGTTTAATTAACTCGAAATATAATATTAGGTATATAATATAATATATAAACTAACATAACTATGGACGACGTTAATTGTATTTTTTCACGCTGTCTGTATAACTTGTACAATGTACCCATACATTTAATTAGATGATATAACCATGAGAGTGATCAAGTCGAATTTTAGAAAAGAAGACGATGTTTTTTTTTTTACTTATTCATACGGATTCGGTCCCGACTGGCGATATCTTATATAAAATTTAAATTCTATTTGTTTGTATGTATGCCAGGCTCGCGCACAGGGTTATTTCATAAGGGTGGGGAGAAAGTTCTGAATAAATTATTTATACAAAAAGAATACATCAATTATTAGTAAAATACTAAAATAAAAAGTAAAAATACAAATTATCGTTTACGCATTATCCTGCAAGAGTCTTACAGAAGTAAACTAGCTTTTAATTCCAATAAAACCATTATCTAACCGGTATTAACCTAAATGCATAAAAATACAATGGGAGGGACTTGAATATCAAACCCTCCCTTTTATGCATAGGTTTGATATATATATATGTTTATGTATATGTAAATATTTGGAGCAATCCCGGGAAATTTGATCTTGCCCGGGCAAGAAATTTAAATCACGAATATAGACACAAGTTACACGATTGAAATAAGTTAATAATTTTTTTGTGCAATATTTGTTCTTAAATTTATTATCACTAATAATTATATAGTATTGATGGAAAAATTATTTAATATATTATTATTTAGAATTGTATATTAGTACCTATTGATTTTTATATGATTTATTTTAATGACACTTAGAATTACAAAGCCTGTCTGCTTTTTTACATTTGCATTTATTCATTTTACAGCGCTGTGTATAAGTGCATCGATCGTATTTTTGTTCTTCTAAATTAGAGCGAGCACGGGCTGCTTCTCGCAATGAAATTGAAATATCCGGTACGTCGTCAATCTGAACAAACTTGATAACCGTGGAAATATCAAATAGGTACCGGTGGCTGAGTAATTTTATCAATATAACTATTAAGTAAACTTTTAAAATCTGATATGGCAGCTAACGGTTGTATGGCTGTATGCGATGTACAAATCCTATTTAAAAATAATACGGAGATAATACGATGCTTATGCGACGTGTTTCAAAACAAACTGACTTTGTTTGCAATAATAACTTTAATTAGATATATTTGATATATCAGGTTATTTTATTATAATTGTTTTTAAAATATTTATAACATAACAAATAGTAAATAACAAATAATTAACAATTGCACAAAAAAATTATTAACTTGTTTAAATCGTTTTATTATAACTTGTTTGTATTAGTGCTTCCAATTTCTCACATTACTGGTAACATATAGTTAGACGTATACATGTCCGCAAACTACAGTTTTATTCCGATCTTGATGAAATTTTGCACACATGACATTCTAAACAAAAGGAAGATCGCTATCTACTTTTATCTCGAATTCCACCACAAAAGAGTCTAAATAATGGTTTGTATAGAGTTTTTGGTATTTTTGGAACGAAAATTACACATTTTTTTTGATTTATAGGTTATCTTAGCTACACGGATGGAAAAAAAACCGTTATTATTATTTAATATATTTGTCACAGAAAAGGAAGTAACCTTTTTTTAAAAAAGATAAATTATACCAGACAACTGTGATATGGATAAGAGTATAAAAAGGGACACACGGTAAATTTAGTTTCTTTTATTCATTTCTGTTTTTTAAAGGATTGATCCCGGGAAATATCGGGTAATTCAGCGAATATTTTTATTTAAAATTGTCCATAATTCGGCCAATATCATTAGGGTAAGTGTTTGCAATGTAGGGGACGAGTCACTCTAGTCACTCTAGTTTCGTTTCCGGAAAGCGAACATTTAATTTTATAACAAGTATAATATTACATAGTCGTATAAAATAACGATATTATATAATATTACATAAATATAAACAAATCGTGGTGTTATAGGTCAATAAAATAATAATTTTTCGTTATCAAGTTAGTAATATTATGTAGTCGTGTGAGAACAGAGGATGTGAGTACACAAGTGATAATACACGTAAGAGTACATAAACGATAAGACGTTCTTAAAGCGAGTAGTGGATGGATTCGAAATTGCATTGTTATTATTCATTTTTTTTTTCAACAGATAATTCTTAGGTTTTATAATTTTCCGTGAATAACAACAAATTAAATTCACTCGGTCGTATAATATAAGGAATCATTATATCACCTATAATATAATCTGAAAACACGAAGTCATAAATCTTCGTGTCGGCATCATCTTCATCCGGGTGGCGCGGAAAGATAAAATACGAATACCTATCGATGCACATTTCTCGCAGAGTACCTATCTTTTATTATAATTTAATACAGCCTATATTGGTTTCTAAGCTGTTAAGACTCAATTTTGTTTAAGTTATCCAATAAAAAAAAACCACATAAAAATAAATGTACAAGGGGTCTTACCTCTATTTAAGGATATTTTATGATAACGTTTCCTTCTAAAATACAATTAAGTGATGGATCTGTTGAATAAAGAAATATTTAGATTAGGTATGTTATGTATTGGAACACATGGGTTTGTACAATTTTTCCTATATTATCAAATTTAGTAGTCGCCTTATCATAAATTTAAATTACGACAAATAAGATAAATATAAAGTGATGAAAACTATTAATAAGACGAATTGGACTAATTAATTGTTGGATCAAATGAAAATTTAGTCGGAAAAGCTGTATTTTAGAACTAGATTCAACAATAAATGTAATCGAATTTTTGAGTTTTGAATATATTGCGTATATTACCATTTTGATTGAACATTGCTAATTTTTGGGAGACACACTAATTCATATCATGTGTATCGAAATGCACTACAGAATTTTAAAATTCGAGCGTTAACATACATATATTATATCTGCCAAAACAATTTGTAATTCAAAATATCCAAAATTCAAGCTGTCGGACTGATATTTTATTTCAAAGAGATCGCAGCGATATTATTAATTTTTAATGATCAGTTGCTAAACGGCTTGTTCGTTATTATATAAATTCCGACGGGGTTTCAGCGATTTTCATATTATATTTCAATATCATACGAGACGAATAGAAGTGAGTAGAACGATATTATATAATGATATTTGTATACAATGATAATAACATAATGAAATCCTTTTGAGTTTTGACGTTTTACGCGTCATCCTGGTGCACGTCACGTACCTCTTTCTACTCCTCCTCACCCTGCTCTCCCCGCGCGGTATTATGATATGATTACTATTGTGTTTAACGGGGTTCAAATACTATTATTATTAATATTATTATTCAAGCATTATTCGAATATTATTACATTATCACGCGCATGTTGTACCTGTGTGTACATAGCTGACCAGATAGCGTATAAACGTTCCCTATTACTGGAAACGAGCCACAGACGCAAATACGTCTGCTATTTGCTTAACACAAACAAATTATATATTATCGATAATGTGGCACTGTGTGTTAAGATGTGTTTTTGATCGAAACCCCATACCTACTGCTTCGGAAAGTTAGTATTCTCAATAGTATGTTATTTTAAATCTCAGTCGAAGAAAAACCATAACGGATTTACATCACGTAAAACAGCAAAAAGAGCTGATAATGCTGATGGGAGTTCCGATATTGTGGACGAGAAGTTAAGAAGTAAGATACATAATATTTTAGATTCTGAGAGACACAAAGGATCCATTAGTTTTACTGTGATGTGTGGTTTTTTTTGTTTATTTTTTTTTAAAAAATATGAAAAATGACAATTTTTCATTTGTTAACTGACACAAATTTACGTCGTTACGATTTCGTTATTTTAAATTTGTACTCACGATGTTTTATACCAGAAATATTACTTCAATTAATAAATAACAAGAGATCTTCTTTGTTGATTTTTTTATCCAGTTGGCGAGTAAGAAAATTTTTTATTTTATTTTTCCTGTGATTTTTTAATAACTGAACAAAACCGAAAAAAAGAAACGATAACGGGAAAATTTACGAAAATTATGTTTTTATAATTTTTAATTTTTTTTGTAAGTCAATTAAACATATTCGTAGAGATTCTAAATAATGTATAGAAAACTTGGACGTGATAAAATTAAAACAATTTTCGAGTCATTTTTTAGCTATTTATAAATTTATAATATTATAATATTATAAAATTTAATATTATTTTTTAAATTTTCCAATTTTTTTTACGAAATTTTAATTTGGTAGGTACACTGCGGATAAAATTTTGAGATCAAACAAAAATGCTAACAGGAGATTCATTATAGGTCATACTTAGTAGTAAAAAAAAACTCGAGTGTAATTTTTTTTTACACATATAAATTAAAATACTATAAATATATAAAGTAAATAACTTCATGTATCCTAATTTCCACTTAAAAAAGTGACACACCCGTTCCCAGTATCAGCAATCGTTTTAAAATTTAAATCTGTACGCTACGATAAATCATTTTTTATTAGTAATTTCTATGATTATCGTTAAATTTCCAATATAAGAATGACTATATTATGCTCAACTTTTTTTTCTACACATAAGTACAACTTAATATAATGAATCTCGAGTAACACGTTCAAACATTTCTGCTTGAGCAAAATAATTGTATTCGTATGAAACTTAATAAAACCTAAACAAATTCGAAAATGTCAAATGCTTATAAATAACTAAAAAAATCGCCATAATATTTTGAAAATTTTTTACCATCTATGATTTAGATTCAAAATTTCAAACCTAACTCAATTCATTGAGATAGCACCAAAAAAAAATGTAGAGATTTGTATCATGACGAGGTACACCTAAATATAATATATCTAATACAAATAACACCATATCTGGCTATTTCGAGGATTTTATTTGCATCTGTGATGGGTCGTTTTGAATTGAGAACGTTAATACGCGACCAGATATGGTAAAATACAACAAACGTGAGAATTTATCGTGCACACGTGTAAGTATAGGGAGGTATATGACGAGCTTTGTGCTAATTCCAGGGCCAAACCGATAATTCGCATAACATTATCGTCATGTTCCAGTCAGACGCGCAAACGCGTTAATTTCGCCACGTTGATTTTGATATACATTGCCGAAAACGCGAAATCTCGTCATTTCCATCGCGGTTAACATATTATAATAGGTAGTATTTTTTGAAGGAGACAAAAATCTTATCATAACGATTTAATTAGATATTCATGTATAGTAGTATGTAGTTACCCCTTATATTACTTTTTAGAGGCCATATTGGTCCATTGCCGTGACAAATTGCCACCGTCATCGTATCTCCTTGTCCTCATAGCTGCCTTATTGATTTACGCCAATATTGAATCTATTCTCAGACAAGGCAATACTGCATTTCTAAGAAAAATCGCCGGAAGTCCAAACAAATTGAAAAATTAGTTATGTACAATAAAAAAATCTTAAAATTCAGACGTTTCAGGTCAATATGCTATATGTCTGTAATATTACTCTATAAAATGACTACTAGCATTATCGGTTTTGACAAAATACCGTAAATGGTCGAAAAATGGATTTTTAAATGAGGCGTAAAAACGCCGTATAATAACTTTGCTAATAAAAAACGCTGTGTATATCAATTTTGCTTAGTACAGATTGTGGTTTTACTCATCGTAATATTGTAATCAATAGTTCATTAAAATATAATAAAAGTTAATATAATAATATGGAAACTTTACGAATGATACAATATCAGTTATTTGTTAGTTATTTTTACGATTTCCATTTACCCAAGGATTCTATTCAAGAGTCCATTCAATACAGTTCTATATACCAATTATACTAAGGATCAATGTAAAAAGTTAAGTACTTCAGAATTTATTTATTTTTATTCCATTGCATTTATCAGGTAAAATACCATATAAAAATCCATAACACACTCTGATAAGTAAAATGGAAGAGGTATTATGAAATCCTAAGTATTAAAAACCCGGTTTTTGCAAAAACGTTGTCTAATGGCTTACGGCGTTTTTGCTTAAGGGGGTAGAATAAACATTACGTAAGACATTTATTATCTCGGAAATTATTGACCGTTTCAGAATATATTTTTTAGAAAATGTAATAAACAAGCAGTTCTAAACATGTTATATAAGCATTTTTTTTTTTTTTTTTGTCACCTTTATTTTCAAGGGTGAAACCACTAGATAATACCCACTTTAAATTTCTAAATTAAAATCTACGTAACAACGTATATAGAAAATTCCATAAATAAATTAAGTTTTAGTGTTTTGATGTTAAGATTTTTGATTTCCGTCAACCTATAGGTGAGTTATATCACGTTTAAGTTTATAGTTTTATGAGTAAGGGAACAGTGGCATGTCATTTTTGTGATGGCGAGTATGCTTGACGTTTGAATAGTGCTCCACTGCTCTCATCCCCAGAAAACGACAAATCATAAAATAGAATAGCTCGTCAACGGATTGGTGGAAATTAAAAATACCAACACCAAAATGTATTTAAACTAAAACTTTATATACTTATGGAATTTTTATTAAAACTCGCCATTTTAAAACTAAAACTATAGGTAGTGGTTTTACCCCCGAAAATAAAAGTGACAAAAAATTAAGTTAATACTTAATCATTAAGAGATTGTAAAAAGTATTAGGTTGTCTAAAAAACGAAAAAGTTAATAATAATACGTGACACGTATTATGAACATATATTTTCAAGAAACAGTCCTTCAAAGAAGTTGGAAAAACTTCAAGATACTGGTAAAATAATAAAAATGTTGTGGACTATTATGATGATAGACAAAATAAAATGATATATCTAAAAGCAAATAATAGTGTTTTAAAATGAATGATAATTATATAGATATTCTACTTAATTATAACATTAGAACATATTTAATTTTTTTTTTTTTCTATTGATAGACATATCGTTATAACACACACGTGAACAAAATAATATATACAAAAAAATAATCGCCGTATTGCCAGATTAATTACGCGCTGAAACATTCTAGATCCCTCTACGGTCCATATTCTTTAAAAAAAGTATACTATAATATTTATAAATCCTCTTTATTCGATATCGGCACAAATCGATTTTTATATTTTTACAAATCACATTTTGGAATAGACGATGATAGATAATTTTTGAAATTCAAAAATATCTTACTAATACATTACATATCGGAAAATCCGTATTTATTATTTATAAATACCCTCCTAGTTCTTTTAAACTTATAATAATATTATAACTAGGTGCACATTTTACGAGGATACATATTATAATGCATTGTACGATAGACGAAATATCAACACGTTGTGGTGAAAAAATACAAGCCAAATGGATTATTGGTGAGAAAAAAGTCCGATTGGTAAATCTATGTGGATGAATTAATATCATTAATATAAAGATGGGGTAAATTCGATTTTTTATTTTTAAATTTTTTGCGAGTTTATCACAGTAATTTATGCGTGAAAAAAATGTAATTTATTATTATAAATGACATTTTTTTTTTTTTTTTTGATAAAAACATTATTTCAAAAAGAGAAAAATCGGAATTTTCATGTATTGTATTCGAGAAATATATATGCAGACGGTTTGTAAATCCACATACATTATTTTTTTATTTTCTCGAATCGTAATTCATTGTCGACGGTAATTTTTTTTTATAATTTTGTCGTTTCGTTATTCTTTAGCGTTTGTGCGTCTCTAGTGCCAAAAACGCCGTATCATAAAAACAATAATCTAAAACCTTAACAATATTTACAATTTTTTGACTTCGCTATATAGTAGTTTTTTTTATAATTGAGAAAAAACTCAATGTATCAGTAAAAATATTCGCACAGGGATCAACGAATTCAGCGAATAAATTACTTATTGCAGAATTAAATAAAACTTTTGTTTCGCCGTCATAGTTGTAAATTTTTAAAATCCAATAAGAATAACGTATCGTTAATTATTCGGATCAAATATTAATATTTAAATGAATTATAATAGTACAGTAAATACGTCTAACACAAACGTGGGTTTTAAGAATTCAAACCTTTCCTTGAAATTAAAAAAACACATATACTTATTCTATAGTTCAAATCATTTATTTTTAACTTATCCCGAACACCCAAAATTGTTTTCTGTGAACGTGTTTGGTGCAGGGTGATATTTTTTATCATAACCAGAATATTTCTCGGAAGATTATATGTGAATTAAATTTGTTTTTTTTAATCATTATAAAGCGGTTAAGCTTAAATTTTTACCCCTACTACATATACCTTAAATAAGTACCTATATACTTTTCTTTTCAAATAAGAACTCCTCTTTTTGAACATATATTCAAATACAGAACATTTTTCTAGACATTTTGATATGCATAACATTTATAATAGATTTACCGCTTTGACCATTTAAAGTTTTCACTGGAGGAGTGAAAAAAGGTAATAAATTGCATATCTATTTTTAAAAGATAAATTGATAACCCTTCATGATAAAAAAATTACTCTGTACACGCAAATAGTACATTTAAGTTTTTTAAAAAAAAATTATCTAAACGGGGGAGAGGAACCGAGTTTAAAAGAAGAAAATTAAATTTTACAATAAATTAACTATTGACTGTAAATTTGCGATTAAACACTTTACTCTCATATTCTAATTGGATGGGTTTGGAATTTTCGTTATAATACGTATGACAGTTACTTATAATACCATGGTTTACTCTAATGATACTTTAAAGTCTTAATGGACAGTTTATTTTACATACGTTTGCATATTTTTGCCGTCTTTAAATATAGAACTTTTAAGATTCCATAAAACTTTTTAAGCATACTTAAGGATTTCGTAAATTTTTTAATTTTTTTCATGATTTTTTTCTAGAACATATTTAATTTCGTATTTTTAGTGCAGATCTGCATATATATTTAACGACTTTTAGAGCAGGCATATAAAAATGTGCTCTAATTATAAGTATTCAAAGCTTATTTTTTAAACTATAAAGTATTCGCAGAATATCTACGATATAAATATTAAATGTATGCGTCCGTAAAGACGAGTATTTTAAGCAATCGTCGCACAAGCAAACTACTCTCCGGGGTCCTATTATTTTGTTCCTTAAACTGTATCTATAAAGTTTATCACGTCTAAATTGCTGTTCCAAAAACCTTCCCTATAATACCCGCACTCTCCGTAACATAAGATACTGTGCAGCAGTAGCACAACCGGAATTTTTCCAAAGAGGAGGTCCTCTTTGGGAGGGTTCCAATTCTCGCCAGAGGGACTTTTAAGGAGCAGTACTTTCACCGATTTAGCATCATCAACAACACAATGTAAAAGGACGTCCTAGGATACTGAGATTGGGTGCAGCCATTATTGCAGGTAATTTAATGTTTATCTGTAAGAAACGATAAACCATTGCTAACAAAAAAACGATTCTGAGCATAGTTCAGTTTATAGTAATGCCTTATCAACAATATACATGCGATATTATGGTAAAATAATTAAATAAGCATTATATATTTTCTTGGACAGCATTTAATTCATATTGAACCGATTTTCCCGTTTTTCCCGGTTTTTCCATGTCTTATCCCGGTAATTCACATTAGCTGGGAAAACTCCTGAGAAAATCGAAAAATGAGCTCTTTAAAGTACCTTCCTAGTGAAATTTCCTTTTAGAAACGTTGCTATTGTTAAATGTTGAAGCAAAATTTGTAGTAGAAAAGCTGTTTACAGAAAAAAAGAAGACCGTAATATATTTTAACTAATACCTACATTACTTATATTTCCCTGCGTTTTTTTGGTTTTTCATATTTTTTTTAAAAAAACTCTGTGGAAAATCGAAAAATGACCCCCCAAAGTTACCATGGAGATGAAATTTCCTTTCAGAAAATAAGCTAAACTTGATACATCGGAGCAAGTAGTAAAGTTTGGTAGTTTTGGTAGAAAAGTTTGCACAACAAATCGAGGGGTATTTTGCGATTAAAATAGTCCGAGCAAGGTCTCTGGGTACACCCAAAATGCATTTGTTTTTTTCTTGTTTAGGTAAAAAAGACACACTGGTTTGAGAACTCGGAACCCCTAAGATGATAATAGGCATAAATAACCATTAGATCACGAGAAATATGCTTTATGAAAGACAACATAGAGTTATTTAATATAACATTTAATATCTACATATCAGAACTTCCAAAAGCTATAATTTTGAAAAAAAAAACTTTCGAAAATTAGTCAGACCACTAAATTATGACTTTACTATCGTTCTTAAATCGGCAATATACATATTAACAAAAAAAAAAAAAAAATGAAAAATTAGATTTGTTCCACATACTTTTACTCAACGATTTTTGTCAAATTTGATACTAAAATTCCTTTATAAAAAAAATTACTATATTAATTTCAAACTTTTTTTGACCATAAAATGAGACTCTTAATGGACCTTCTGTTAAATTTTCAAGCATTTCTATTAAGTCTAAAAGTTTTACCACAAGGTACCTAACGAATAGGTATGTGTGATCAAAGGTTAGAATGATATTTTATCAGAAAAACACAACTCTCGAAAAATAAATAATCGGACCAATATTTATATCGAACAGTATATTTTAGAAGAAAAATATATTATCCGAACATATTTTGATAGAATAATATTTTGTTGGAACCGTATTTCAGTAGAAAACCAAGTTTATAGTCGATAATTATTATCTATAAACCTTGGGTAGATAAAATTCATAAAGTTGATAACGCTATCATCTCATATGTCATCTTATCTATTAACCGCTGAATCATGGCTTAAATAGTATTGAGTCCTAACCCTACTATTACACGTTTCGCATAGGTCGTTTATAGTGGGATTAAAAAATCGAATCTTAGAACAATAATAAACTAATATAAGACATTGTATTATTATAATTACTGCAGGTGACAAAACCCGGCATACACGAGTATAAATGTATGTATTACCTGTTATTAAAAGTTTGAACCTTTAAACTTCTTCCAAAATTTGCAAAGTCACAAACAGAATAGAAGTTTTGAATTCGACTGGAAAAAATTATTATTAAAATTTACATTTTCTATTTCTAGCACAAAAAACCAAAACTCTTTTAAAATTTGTAATTCAGAGCAAAGCAAGAAATAATGTATATTGATTGTTCTATGATTTATATGGGTTTTTTTTCTGTCTGTAAATAAATGTTCTATCAGAAATTTTGTTATGATTTTTCAACGTAGCATCTATTCCAAAATAAAATTGTATATAGTTGTTGCATTGAGAGATCGCACTTTTTTTATTATTATTTATATTGTAGTTGTATATAATTGAAAAAAAACCTCGATTTACGGAAAAAAACAATTTCATTAGTTTCGATTTTGTTTTGTTTTGTTTGTTTTGTTTGTTTTTTAATAAACATTGATTATAACTAAAGTTATCTATAATATAGCTAATATTTTGATATTTGTTAAATCGTCATAATATGTTTAATCACTCTGCGTATATTTCATACAAATGTATTAAAACGAATTTTTGAGCGGAGGGCATCACTACTTATTAGGTACTATATTTACCTTCGTATAGCATTAAAATCCTTTGAAACGGCCTGCGACTGTTAAGTACGATTTGAATTAATAAACCCTTTATAGATATTACACTTTGAAGATATCGACAAATAACATGTTTTAAGAAGTACTAAATAGCAAACGTTTGTAATTTAAATCGTACAAAGGGTTCGGCGATACGAACACTAGCGCATTTTTTTTTTTCAGAAATAGTTACCTTCGTTTGAAAATTATTACTGTTGCCACAAATGTACCGCCCAAAGATATTCCATCATATATCGTATAGATATTACGTAACTTCATTTCATCTATACGTATAATAAACGGCAAAGGCAAAAAAAAAATCGACATTTGTAAAAAAAAAACCTCGCACGTCCGCAAGAAGGTCAAACACGTATTTATTGAAAATCATTTGATTTCAAAGTCGTACACATCATTATACATAATCCGACTTGTAGCGTTCAAAGAATAAATACAGCCCTACAGGTGGTTATATATTTATAGGTATATATCAATGTTGGGCCAGTTACGTCACTTTTTTCAACTAGTTAAATTTAAGCTAGGTACTTTAAAAAAAAAAAAACCAACAAAATTGGAATAAAAGTTAGTAAAAATAATTTCTTAAAATTCTAGGTTACTTAGAAGTTGGTGAAAAAAAGTAACTCGAATTAAAACAAAAGTTACAATTTAGTTGTTTTTTTTTCAATAATATTTGAAAATCAGAAACTAAATTATTAGTGATACTATATCAATTGAATTGAATTGGTAATTTGATCAAATGTTAGACGTATTAAATTTATTATATTGCTATTGTATTTATTGTATATGGAATAATTTGTGTGCAATATGGAAGAATTGTGAAAACAAAACTCTTACTGCTGTCAATACAAAGAGAGAAAACATTTTTAAAAAATATGAAATAATTTTTAATCAATAGAAACAATGTATAACAATTAATAATAATATATTTTACATATCTGTGGGTGGAACTTACCTCTCTTACCAGCCCTAAGCAAGTTAGTGATAATTTGTAATTATTACAGTTATAATATTATATTATATAATATATATATGAATCTCAAGCATCAATCGATACATCATTGATATCAACGATATCATTACATTATCAATATTATAATATCAGTAAACTGCATACTAATAATACAATATCAATTTGATACCATATTTATTCTCATCGCTAAGCGCCTCATAGTGATTGGCAGTTTTTAATTTTCTTATCATATTTTGTAAGAATAACTTTTAATAACTACCTTGAGGAAAAATACAATTCATTTAGTTAATAAGTTATAATATAAACAATGTAACTAGTTAAGTTAAAAATGGTTGACACAAGTAACTTCTAACTTTCTAACTAGTTGAAAATTCAATATATATATTTATTATTATTAGTGTCCGACCTTGATATATAAGTATTGACCACCTATTGGTACCTATTTTAATCATTTTTCTAACTTCCCAATGTAAATTCTTCGTAATTTTATGATTACTAAATCGGGGGAAAAAATCTGAACCAAAAATACTTATAAAAAAACTAATACGTTTAACGTTTAAATTCTTTTAATTTATGATGACCCTCATTAAATGTTCAATCATTTCTGCTCGATCAAAACAATATTATTCACATGACTAAAAAAGAAAAATCGAATATTTCAATATTATTATATTGGTATTTCAAATACTTATTATAGATAGTTCAAAACATATCAGAACATTTTGAAAATTTTGTCAAGGTAACCGAGAAATTATTACAAATTGTCGGTTTTTCCTATTTATTAAAAAAAAAACGTTTATCAAAAAAAATCACCTCCTAATAACATGAGTTGAACTCAAAAATGAACGAAAGTTCATAATATACAGTTTTTCATTGGAAAAAGATTTCTGGTAAAAGAGTTGCGCACAGACGAAAAAAAATAATAATAAGCACACATCATAGTTAAAGTGTTAAACGTTCTTCGCTCCGTTCCGATGATCTAAACGTATTTTAAGTTTATAGGATTTTACTGTACTTTGATTTTATCGCTATTCCCATGCACGGACATCGTTATTCCTATCGTGTGTTGTCAAAATCGTATACATTTAAATGGATAATATTTAATTACTCGAAATTAATAGGAAAAATTATAATTTGATGATATAAATTTACGACGAAAACGGTAAAAAGTTTCTGCGATGTTGACAAAAAAAATGTACTTCGAAAATATTGAAGTATCGTAACAACGGTTAAAATATATTAGCTGCGGGGTAATTGTTTTCGGGACGTTTAACATAAACATATAGTATAACATAATATATACATATTATTTGTTTGTTTTCGTATTAAACCGATAGAAAAAAAAAAAGATTTTTTTTTTTAATATTTCATATTTTCATACATTTCGACCGTAAAAAATAATTTTCAACGGATTACAATATTATATTATTTTATTGCGTAACATTTATAACGTTTAATATGTCCGCCGCGATCAAAAATTATAATGCGCGTTTTTTTACAATATCCGTTGAAATAGTCGACGACGAAAACTGTATACGAAACAAACGGGTAATAATTTCAAAATACTCGTCTCCGAGCGACCGAGTCAATGGAAAATCTCGTATTTGACATTTAACGTTATCGCGCGCCTAGTGTAGAGGGAGAAAACTAAAAAAAAAAAAAAATTGTTTCATTCGGTTTTTACCCCGATAATGTTTAAGTCAGCTTCATAATTTTAACACGTGTGTAATGTTCAACTGAACGGCATAGTTAAAAAACTAGGGGAAAAAAAAATTAAAAAGACGCGACACCCCCGTTAACTGTCACGGTCCAGCTGTCACGGACATACCATAGCACCGTTACTGACCTAATTTAGAATTGAAATTGCAACGTCGTTTAGGTTACAATCGGAGTTGAAGACACAAGCGATGATATTTAAATAGGAGATAATTATATTCGAGGGTATCACGTATTTTTTTTTTTTACTATAAAACAACGCCGAACAAGAAAAGCTGTAAAAAAAAAAAAACAACTTACATCATTGTAACTTTTAATATCATATTCCATTAAAAATTTGACGGATTTAGAAAAGAACAAAAATAAATGCCATCGAATTCCCCCAGGCTTATATTATTGTAGCCTGCAGGATTATTGTTTTTTTTTCAAATTTATTTATTTTACTTTAATTTATCAAGTTACTTAACTAATAAAAGATCACAAAATTTGACTCTGTCGAATAATTATGAACTATTATTGTGTCTATCTGAATTTAGAAATTTTATAACCTGTATAGTGACAACACTCTTAAGACGTATAAACCATTAATCATTGGCCTAGAGGGAGTAGGTGTTTTAAAACCCGAAAAACCACCTCTGCAGATCACGCGACCGAATACCCTACCCCGTATATAACGAAAAATTATGTGTGAAATATCAAAAGAAATATTTTTTTTAACTTATAAGATAAACATTATTATTTGTGATAATTTGTTTTTTGAAAACTCGAATGTATAAATATTGTAATCATTTTTTTTGTTGTTTTTTTTTTTTTATAGAAAACATTTGACATTTGTAACATCTTGAATTCGCGATATGTTTGGCGAGTGATATAATGAAGCACGGAATGTTTTCAGGGTGCACCTGAAAAATACGCGCGCCGAAAACTACTCACCGGAACGCGGGCGGACGCATTTTCGTAGATCACGGGCCGCGTTGACGGCCGCGACAACAACAAGTGGCGTTTGCTGCGGCGACGAGCCACGAAAATTTTGTAGCGGGTAATCCAGGATGGCGTCGACATCGCGAAAACTACGGCGACGACGGGCCCGTCACGACAGTACGCTCATCGCAGTACACGCACAAAAACACGATTTTCACACTCGTCGTCGTCGTCGTCGTCGAGAACACAAGTGAACGCACCGGACTGTTTCACAGACCGTCCGCCGACGTCGAGCCGCCAAAACTGATTCCCCGGCGGCACACGGTGGCGATGCGCGCACTGAGCACCGGCAGCGACGGCAGCGAGACCAACGGCACCCGTCACCCCCTCATCCCTTCAACCACCCCCCCCTCTCCCGAACGGTGTCCCTTATAACCATCCGCGCCCGCCTCGACTTTCCACGGAACGCGGGCCTAACCACCGCCTCCTGCTCGATCTCGTCATGCGGGAGGGCATCACGCACGCATACTCGCCGACCGCCAAACGGCCGAGTCCTGCGCGCACGTCATCCTCTCGTGAAGGAATCAAGGAGAAGGGTCGGTGGGCGAGTGGGACTTCGGCACGAGGCCCTCTCCGCCGGCAGCTCGCCGCCCGCCCCTTACTTTTACTCCTCGCACCATCAGCATCCGGATATTATATATTTTATTATTATAAGTTCGCGTCGCGTATAATACACCGGTCGAGTTTACCGTGAAAACTTCTATCGCGAATTTTCGTTTAAAAATATATTTCCGTCGAAACATTATCCACTTTTCACCATGTGACCACGCTATTTTCTTTCGACGGCCCCGTGGGGTGTTCGACACGCGTACGCCGAACGCCGAGCGAACGAACCGCGCGTTCTCTTGTTCGGCGTCACGTCGCGTCGTTTACCGCGGGCGGCAGTCGTTACGGCTTCGCCGCCCCGTCGTCCAACTTACACCCGCTAAATCAGTATAACAATATACTGATTTATAGTCATAATATATTCTTCTTCTCCTTCGCCTTCGTCCCAACTATTTGGGGTCGGCATTATATTTATATAATATATTATGTACTACGTACCTACATAAGTGAAACTAGGCATTTGCATTAGGCCAATAATATTGGCCAACCGGACTTTAAAGGTAAAATCGCCAGAAACAAAAATTACACTCGTGTGTAGCAGAGCTACGTTACTAACGTCTCTCCGACTGTTTAGCGTTATAGAAATATTCTTCGTCAAACAATAATGAATAACCGAATCCCATAATTGTCATTACTATACTATTTTTAAAAAAATGTAAAAAATGGTAAGGGGTTGAAAAATTAAACCTATAAAAAAAAAACATCTACGATATCAACGCCGTGCATAAATAAAATTTCACCTCCTCCTTCTGGCTGTATTTGAGGGGTCTATACGAGCGTTTAAAGTCAAATTAAAAACATTCACTTATCGCAGCGGTAAAATTTGTATCTTTCTTCAGCCACATCATCGGAGCCAGTTTTGGCATTTAATAACGATGGCGATTATAGAAATTACGTTTATGTAGTGAAATGGTTTTTGTGGACCTCAAAGTCTGTAGTTTATATAGGAGAATCAGAAAACGTCTATTCATACAGCTAATATTTTATTATATTTAGCCTTTAAAAAGAATCCCGGTAAAATATATGCGTCTTTCGCGTCCTTTCTACGCGATTTATTTGAAACTCAATCCACTCTTCAAACAAACCCTCTCACAAAATAACAATAATCGGTTTATATCCGAAAATAATGACTTCAAACTGTATATATACTCTACACCACTTCCACTATTCGTTAGAATATATTATAATATTTTACTAAACACGATTGCAGATTGTACGTATCGCTTTTAGAACATTCTCGACAGTTTAAGACCATAACGATATCCGAGAGGAATTTCCTGAAACGAAAAAATCTAAATCCGTCTAGACATAAAAACGTTATCTTCGATCAGAGACTACACAGGTCCAAAGTTTCCTTTCAATGTTACCGTCCCTATAAATCGACCGAATAAAATTGACAGCTAAAGACCGACCGAAACTATAAAAATAACCGTTGAAGTCAAGTCAAGTTAAAACTTCAAAGTCAGTAATGACGTGTTATATAAATGATAAGTAAGAGATAAAATCAGAAGAATACAATAATATGCTTCTGGTTTTCCGGTCGTTGAAACCATACTGCCAAGCAGATGCATCTCCATCTTGCTTTATCCTTCGCTACTATCACCGACTACATATTCCGTTCCACAAGTTCCTCATCATATTTAACACAGAAATTTAAACGCAGTTGCAGTCTTCATAATGGTCGCTTACTAATTACCCTTACATGTAACAAAAATGTACTGCCACATCAACCTTCTCTTTGAGATCACCCTTCTTATATCTTGCCTTAAAAAGGTCATTTGTTTATATTTTATATAAGCTGATGTTTTATTATTTTTTTTTTTTTTTTTTGTGGATAAAGAACTAGTGGAAACATCCAAGGTAGATGTCAAAAAACGCTTTATACTAAAATTATGGTTGTTTAATTAAAAATTAATAATTTTAATATATTATATTGGTAATTTAAATAATTAATTTTATAGAAAAGACGTCCTAGTAAAATGGAGACTGTGATGCAGCCACTGTTATAGGTATTTTAATGTATATCATTTAGCAACGATAAACCATTGCTAACAGAATTCAATTAATAGTGATGCTTTGTCAACAATAAATAGGTAAGTCAAGTTATGGTAAATTAATTAAATAGGCATTATATATTATCTTTAATAATTTTGTTTAATGTACCGATTTTCCCGTTTTTCTTGGTTTTGCCGTGTTTTTTTTTTTCTTTTGGTTTTTTACATTTGTTGTAAAAACTCTTAAGAAAATCAAAAAACGACTTCTTTAAAATACTTCCCCAGTGAAATTATCTTTTAGAAAAATTGCTATCGTTCTAACTTGGAGTGAAATTGCTAGTACAAAAGTTGTTCACAGAAAAAAAGAAAACTATAATATTTTTAGCTACATTTCTTATAATTATTTTTCCGTTTTTTCAACAATTTTTTCGGTTTTTCAAATTTGTTGAGAAAACTCTAGAGAAAATCGAAAAACGATCTCTCTAAAGTACGATGGGTATAGCCACTGTTATTGGTGAGAATTTGAGAGAGTTAGGTTATAGAGAGGAAATTAATTTTTATCTGTAAGTTACAATAAACCATTGCTTACTAAAAGCGATTCTGAGCGGAGTTAAGTTAATAGCGATGCTTCTTCAACAATATATAATATGTCATATTATGGTAAAATAATTAAGTAAGTTCATTTAGTACGTTTTTGAAACATTGTTAGATAGCGTTACACTCCAATGTTGGTCTGGTTGTTTTTAGCAAAATGCGTTATCCGACATTTTCTACCCAGTTAACCTAAATCTTGATTTTAAAATATTGAGAGTTAATTGTTTTCTGACAATTATCTAAACAAATAAAATGTTATCTTAGATAATTACTTAGATAACTTGGTTTTATTATGTAGATAAGATAAAAGATGACTAAAAAACCATCTAGATAAGTCCCAACACTGATCAATGCAAGGGGCAATATTATATTCTATTGAGAATTTTCTTCTTAAATACTCATACGAATTAATTTCTTCACTTCCCTAACAGGCCATGTCTCTAAGGCACGTAAAAATATTATACGCATCAAGGTAATACACATTTGTATTTTTTAATTGCTTGTTATGGATTTTGAGCGCAGCATTTTTTTCCAAGTCTAAAGTAGCATTTTCTACCCTTTTAAATTATTTCATTTACTTTACTATTATTTCACGTTTTAACAGAAATAACAGTTTGTTGGCGTTAAACTCATATTATTGTTATTATGGAAAGAAAATCAATTTCGCCAGACGAAAGTTTTGGGAAGGAATTCAGTACGATGCATTCCGTTCGTGTTACGATTTCAAACAAGAATTATTGTTATAATGATATTATATTATTAGATTGAAGATTGAACCGTATTTTACTTGCTCTCGTACGTCTAAATACCTTCGGGTTAGAACAAAAATACCAAAATATTAAATGATAAATAATATATACATTTAACTTATTTAAGAGAACATCGCTTTGTCAATATTTAAAGAGTCTTATTTAGACAATTTTGACATATTTCGACGTAATTCTATGTAAACGTTCAGCCCTCCCCTCTTCAAAAAAAAGAACACCGAAAATTCGTTATAGCCTTACCTACACGAACAATTTGGTAAATGGAGATTGTAAAAAGATTGACTTTTTTTATAAAAGTCTAAGTGAAAACTGCGAGTGTCTACGACAGAAAAAATATATATAAGTATTTATAAAATACGATAATATTTTAATTTAATTATAACAAAAAAAAAAGAATTAAAAATAATAAAAGCATTATTTTCGTAAATTTTCATATTCTTTCTACGTTTTTTTTTTTTTTGGTTTTGCTCAATAAATTATAAAATAAAAAACTACTTAAAAAATCAAAAAACAACTTTTTTATTCACCAACTAGATTAAAAATGCGAAAACAATCTTTTTTTTTCATTTTTTTAATGTTGCAATATTTCTGATAGAAAACATAAGCTACAAAAATGTAAAATTGTGAAATTTTTACATTTCTTGCGTGATGACGATGGCGTTTTTCTACACAGACACTCAAAAACGAAGCAATGGGAATGAAAGTTTGTGTAAGTATTGCGTTGTGTCAAAAATTTGTTTTTCGGGGGATCAACTGTCAACCTTTATCAAATCAATAGGAGAGTGGGGGGCATTGATATTCTAAAGTCTTATCATTTTTTTAACGCAATAAATACATATGATATGTATTGATTATTTTGTAAAAAATAGAAAATTATTGAAAGGGAGAGGGGAGTGTAGTTCGTCCCATAATTATTATGTCATATAATCAGCACACAAAAATTAAAAATCGATTTTGCGCATTTAATAATCCATTTAACGCTCTAAAGTCTAAATGATGCCGACGTTATATTGTCTCTCCTCCATTTATTACGTAATTCGTTTGTAATTATTTACCATATTTTAGAATTTATTTGGACGTAATACTTCGTTATAACCGAAAAACCGATGGGGAGTTGTAGACATGTTATCTAGCCACCGAATTTTAGAAATATACAAAGTTTATTTGTTTTCCGTATATAGTACGTAATGTATCAAATACTATAATATTCTATAAAATAATGAAACAGCTATAGATTTTATTGATTTATTAAATTATGTATATTGCAAATATAACGTATTAAATT